TATACCCCCTGTCCATGGGCTTCCGTCCCTTTACACAACTTGATGTAAAGTAGGCGAATAAAATTAGTTATCTCCATATTGGTACACACACTTCTGGAGCGCCCTTTTAAATCTATACATAAATTAAATATCTTCATCCAGTTATTTTGCCTATGGCAATTTTTTATTTCATTTCGTTCTTGAATGATTATTGCCATTTTTCTCGTTTTTTCATAACCATTTGTATTAAATGTGCATTTGAGAATTAAATTATGGTATTTCGGATAAATGTCTTCAATCAGTGGTATGGAATAAGATGGGATTTTCATAGTTATCTCAAGAAAGAGGAGAGCCGATATGATTCATAACCACGGCTGCGAAATATTCTGAGAAGAACTATTGCGGTAAAAATATGAAGAAATGAAATCCAATTCAGCAATTAGTTCCAATTAGTAAGTTAGAGCTTAATACTGCCGCCATTATGAGAATACAACAGAAGTATCTTACGGACATAATTATGGCCAAGTAAAAATCTGTAAAACTGGTAGCCAATCATATCTCAAATACCCGATCACGTGATCTGCGCAGAATGAGATCTGCCATGCGCAGGCGGACATCCTAACCGGAAGTATCTACTTGCCATGCGCAAGAAAATACCGGGATTCGATTGGATAATTTAAAATTCCTAACCTGCGCAGTAGATTACCGGCCATCTACTTGCCATGTGCAAGAAAATAACGGAATTTGATTGGCTAATTCAATATTTCTCAGCCTGCGCAGTAGATTACCGGTCATCTACTTGCCATGCGCAAGATTTCTGGTAAAACGATTGTTGCCAGATATTTTTGGAAACGAATTCTAGAAATCTGGCAACCTTCAAAAACATAACATTTCCGCGCATGGCAACCGCATGTCCGTTATAGCACTGCGCATGTCACATGACTTTAAAATTTTCTCATTGGTTAACTCTAAGCCAATTAAAATAGTGCACGAAGATATTACATGAATAGTTGAAATACTAGAAACAGGTACAATACAGAGAGGTAGATTCTTGTCATCCGATGTGGTGCAGTCAGTAAGACGACTGAGAAGTAATCCTGTCGTTCGAGTTCAATACCAGACCCATGCACTCTTTACTTCAATTGTTTTGGAGTAATTGAGGGATAAGTATTAGAGGTTAGAACACATTCTTCGGCTGCCGGCGTGGCGCACTGACAATGACGCAGGTGAGGTGTTCACCTGGACTTGGGCTCAAAACCCAGGTCCGAGTTGCCGATGAAGCCGTCCTCTACTTTGACCTACGGGACTTGTCTCGTGGTCCGGCGAGGACGGTGATGTATCGGTGACTCCCCAAACCCCAATGATCCTGCAGAGTCAGTGCGATGGACGCCACAGGGTGGCCTTTTTGTGAAATATATAACAATAAAAAGCTTGGAAGATGTTTCGAGCCGAACGATATTTGTGCCTTTGCCCCTCGGCTCACTCTCCTTGTGCCTCGCTCCATGGTGAATTCGCGAAACGATATTTCATATCGTGCTATTGCTCTCTTGGCGCACTCTCTTTGCGCCTCGCTTCAAGGTGGATTCGAACCTTCTATCCTTCGGCGCAACCGCGTCACACTTAACCCGGTGCGCCACCGCACCATCTCAAACAGATCGATGTAATCCGGGTATTTATCCCACGAGGAGCTGAACTTTTATACGAAAAATAACTTTAATTACTACGAATTACTCCCTCGTCATCCGATCTGGCGTAGTCAGTAAGACGGCCGAGAAGTAATCCTGTCGTTCGAGTTCAATACCAGCCCCATACACTTCTTTTCTTCAGTTGTTTTGGAGTAATCGAAAGATAAGTATTAGAGGTTGGAACACATTCCTCGGCTGCCGGCGTGGCGCACTGACAATGACGCAGGTGAGGTGTTCACCTGGACTTGGGCTCAAAACCCAGATCCGAGTTGCCGATGAAGGCGTCCTCTACTTTGACCTACGGGACTTGTCTCGTGGTCCGGCGAGGACGGGGATGTATCGGTGACTCCCCAAACCCCAATGATCCTGCAGAGTCAGTGCGATGGACGCCACAGGGTGGCCTTTTTGTGAAATATATAACAATAAAAAGCTTAGAAGATGTTCCGAGCCGAACAATAATTTTATATTATGCGTTTGCCCTCTCCTTGCGCCTCGCTTCATGGTGGATTCGAACCTTCTACCCTTCGGTGCAACCATGTCACGCCTAACCCGGTGCGCCATCGCACCATTTGGAAAACAGATCAATGTAATCCGGGTATTTATACCACGAAGTGCTGAACTTTTATACGAAAAATAACCTTAATTACTACGAATTACTCCCTCGTCATCCGATCTGGCGTAGTCAGTAAGACGGTCGAGAAGTAATCCTGTCGTTCGAGTTCAATACCAGTCCCATACACTTCTTTTCTTCAGTTGTTTTGGAGTAATCGAAAGATAAGTATTAGAGGTTGGAACACATCCCTCGGCTGCCGGCGTGGCGCACTGACAATGACGCAGGTGAGGTGTTCACCTGGACTTGGGCTCAAAACCCAGGTCCGAGTTGCCGATGAAGGCGTCCTCTACTTTGACCTACGGGACTTGTCTCGTGGTCCGGCGAGGACGGTGATGTATCGGTGACTCCCCAAACCCCAATGATCCTGCAGAGTCAGTGCGATGGACGCCACAGGGTGGCCTTTTTGTGAAATATATAACAATAAAAAGCTTGGAAGATTTTTCGAGCCGAACGATATTTTATATCGTGCTTTTGCTCTCTTGGCGCACTCTCCTTGCGCCTCGCTTCATGGTGGATTCGAACCTTCTACCCTTCGGTGCAACCATGTCACGCTTAACCCGGTGCGCCACCGCACCATCTCAAACAGATCAATGTAATCCGGGTATTTATACCACGAAGTGCTGAACTTTTATACGAAAAATAACCTTAATTACTACGAATTACTCCCTCGTCATCCGATCTGGCGTAGTCAGTAAGACGGTCAAGAAGTAATCCTGTCGTTCGAGTTCAATACCAGACACATGCACTCTTTTCTTCAATTGTTTTGGAGTGATTGAGGGATAAGTATTAGAGGTTAGAACACATTCCTCGGCTGCCGGCGTGGCGCACTGACAATGACGCAGGTGAGGTGTTCACCTGGACTTGGGCTCAAAACCCAGGTCCGAGTTGCCGATGAAGGCGTCCTCTACTTTGACCTACGGGACTTGTCTCGTGGTCCGGGGAGGACGGTGATGTATCGGTGACTCCTCAAACCCCAATGATCCTGCAGAGTCAGTGCGATGGACGCCACAGGGTGGCCTTTTTGTGAAATATATAACAATAAAAAGCTTGGAAGATGTTTCGAGCCGAACGATATTTTATATTGTGCCAAAGCTTGGAAGATGTTTCGAGCCGAACGATATTTTATATTGTGCCTTTGCCCTCTTGGCGCACTCTCCTTGCGCCTTGCTCCATGGTGAATTCGCGAAACGATACTTTATATCGTGCTTCTGCTCTCTTGGCGCACTCTCCTTGTGCCTCGCTTCATGGTGGATTCGAACCTTCTACCCTTCGGTGCAACCATGTCACGCTTAACCCGGTGCGCCACCGCACCATCTCAAACAGATCAATGTAATCCGGGTATTTATCCCACGAGGAGCTGAACTTTTATACGAAAAATAACTTTAATTACTACGAATTACTCCCTCGTTATCCGATCTGGCGTAGTCAGTAAGACGGCCGAGAAGTAATCCTGTCGTTCGAGTTCAATACCAGACCCATGCACTCTTTTCTTCAATTATTTTGGAGTAATTGAGGGATAAGTATTAGAGGTTAGAACACATTGCTCGGCTGCCGGCGTGGCGCACTGACAATGACGCAGGTGAGGTGTTCACCTGGACCTGGGCTCAAAACCCAGGTCCGAGTTGCCGATGAAGGCGTCCTCTACTTTGACCTACGGGACTTGTCTCGTGGTCCGGAGAGGACGGTGATGTATCGGTGACTCCCCAAACCCCAATGATCCTGCAGAGTCAGTGCGATGGACGCCACAGGGTGGCCTTTTTGTGAAATATATAACAATAAAAAGCTTGGAAGATGTTTCGAGCCGAACGATATTCGTGCGTTTGCTCTCCATGTGCCTCGCTCCATGGTGAATTTGGGAAACGATACTTCATATCGTGCTTTTGCTCTCTTGGCGCACTCTCCTTGCGCCTCGCTTCAAGGTGGATTCGAACCTTCTATCCTTCGGCGCAACCATGTCACGCCTAACCCGGTGCGCCACCGCACCATTTCGAAAACAGCAATGTAATTCGGGTATTTATACCACGAAGTGCTGAACTTTAAAGCTATTAGAACTTCCTGCAAATCCGCGAACTCTCGAGATCAACTCAAGGTTGAAGGCGAACCTGTAATGTAGGTAGCGATAGTGTAAGGGCAAGCGTGTTATGATTACAAGTTGTATACAGTACGTTCGAAACGCGGCGTCGCAATGTGTTATATCTTGTATTATATGTGTACTTTCTCTGTGTTGTAAATACTGTGACGTGTATCTGTAAATATCTATATGTGATCCATGTTGTGTATACGTAAATCTGAGAAATGTGTAGCGTGTTGCTGTCTGTGTTGTCATGGCTATTCTACCGTAACCGATGAGCGCGCTTTTGCCATAAATAATAATAATTTTGGACCTTTTTTCGCTGGTTTGTCGGCCTCTCAACGAAGGGCGCGGTCAATTTTAGGGGAAAAGGAGAATATTTTTAGTATTTACGCATTACTGATCTCGTTTAGTTAGGTGTGTTATAGCTATTGGGATAGAGACACGGCAGCTTGTAATTCTGGTGTTCTTCCAATAAACACCCGATGTCGTTTGTTTTAAGGTTCCTATTCCCACTTCCCAGATTCCTAAGTTTATAAACCCGTCCTAAGTTTCAGTTCAGCACGATTCGTAACTTTTGAATATTTATTTTAACAAAATATAATAGTTATATAAAAATGTCACTTGCTCTTAAGTAAAAAAAATGCAACAATTAAATTTCATCATCAACATTTCAAGTAAAATTTAAAGAAAAAGATCGTGTGAACTGGAGCCATTTTTAGATCTCGGAGGTCAAAGGTCAGAATTTGTTTTTCCATCCACGCATCAACGACAAAGAAATAGTTGGAGGCATGGTATATTTCAATGATTACGAAAATCCAATCAAACCCACCTGTCCAAATGCAAGTCCTGATTAACATTTCTAATATAATATAGGGCCCAAAAAGCTGGTAGCGTGTCAAACTTTCCTACTGCACTGGCAAGTTTGATACTGATGCTCTGAAAACCCAACTCATATTTATAGACAAATTTATAGATGTGAATAAATAAACTAAGGGTCATATTATTCAAATCCTCAAACTGACCGCCACAATGTACTACCCGGGGCAAATAACCCCCGACGTGCCCCTGAAAAATATTGAATCTTGTTCAGTTGGCAGTCCAGATTAGAAATTAAAATAATAGGTACTCCTGAAGTATGCGCACCAAGATGTCGCACAACCAGGTTGTTCGCCATCTTAGAGCGCATACTTCAGATGGTCCAAATAATTATTTCGGCGTATTTTCTGAACAGCTGCGGGATTTCTCAGCGCCAAAAAATTAAATTAGGTTTTTCTGTTCTGTATTAGGTTGCCTGTACGGGAGTTGGGAACTAGTATTGGTGCATGGTTGAGGATGTCAAAAACTAATCTAATGTTTGAATACGTTGAAAATTGGTTTATTCGATTAAGTAAATGTTTGATTTTAGGGAGAATTTAAATGTTTTCTTTGGAAGATGTTTTTTTAGCATTTATTATCCTAGGATCGACAAAATATTGATTTTTTACGAATTTATAATGGTCTTATTGAATTTGTTTTATTAATGATTATATAATTAATTATATTAATGAATTTATAAGGATTTTTTGTAAAACAGACCCATTTTGAAATACCATAACAAGATTCAAAATAATTCATTTCAGAAGAGAGGAAATATGAAAAGATGGTTCAATCAAATGACAGAAAAAAATGTGTATATAGGTTTCTCATAAAATTGAGAAATTGAAATGAGCTAAAGATCTTTAGTGCTGTGGATTCTAAGCAATTCGCATTTAGCAAAACAATACTTTATGTGAAGTTAGCAAGTTCCTATTCAATATTCCATATTCGAAAACATTATTTCAGAATGTGTTCAATATTTGTGAATCTGAAATTTTGCTAATTCAAGTAAAAAAATTTGTTTGGCTTCTGTAATAAGTTAGGTAACAGCTGTGGGAGGGGACTTACCCCATCCACTTCATCTCGCTGAATTGATATTAAAATCGGGATCTGTGGAAACTGAGAATGTTCGTCTGTTTGACATAGAACTGAGAGGTTTAACGATCGGTGAAAACAGAGTGGACGCTCTTTTTGGGGGGTAGGGAGTATTTTTGAGCGCCCCCAAGTGTACATCATCTGAGTTAGACTTGGATGGAGACACTACATTGACTTTGTGAAGCGCAAATATAAGTCCGTTGGATTTTGATAAAAATTCGGAGTCGCTTTTTCTATGGTTTTTTGAGACTGCAGAATTTTGTTCGTTACTGCGATGTGACTCTGTACTACTAGGTTGGCTATTGTCCTCGATTGAATGTTTGCGAAGGAAAAATTCTTTTTCAGGGTTGCCATTTTGAATGACGTCGGCAGATTGTGCTCTCTTGTGCCCTATAGTGGATGCAGAATTGGGTTCTGATGGCTTCTGGTTTAAAATCGATTCCCCTGTGATCATCGGAGGGCTTGATGCTTCAGTCCGATTTCTGCAAAAAAATGGATTTTTTTAGAAAGTGCTCACTTAGTCATTCATGATACTACAATTCACAGATGGAAGAGTTCTAATGATAGCAGTTGAGCTTATGCAAAGTTTCGATAAATAAATATGAAATTCTTATTCCATCAGAGTCGGTCAGCATTTAACCTATACTAGTTTTTAATGAGGGGTTGTAGCCTTAACCTATTTGTAACTCATAAGGAAATAGGTACCAGTAATCTATATTTTGTTGCATACAAAATGCAAACAAAGTGCTCCAGAAGTGTCTGTGCCAATATGGAAGTAACTAATTTTGTTTGCCTACTTTACATCAAGTTGTGTAAAGGGACTGAAACCTATGGGCAGGCAGTATATTCACTTGGCTAACACAGACAGTCCCCGAACTCATAATCGAACTAAAATAAGGAAAATCTGAATAAAATTATGGCCTAACCCTAACCTGGTACACATACTACGGGAGTACAAAATAACACATATAATGTCCCCCTACCTGTGTATATGTATCGGGTATCTTGTTTGTCCGATCACAACTTCATAACGAGTTATATTCTTCGGAGTAAAAACGTCGCCGTGTGGGGGAGGAGAGGCAGAAGAAAGCATTGAGGAATTATCTGTGTATTGTTTTTGATTTTTATGAGGTTTTGTCCCAAAATGTTTATGAAAATCAGCTCCAATGTCAATTTTTGACATTTTTTCCTCAAAATTTTGTCCTTTATTGGCAAAGTTTATCGAAGAATCGAATGTTTTCGATCGCTCTAAGCCGGACTTTTCAAATTGCCATTCTTTGACTGAATTTAAAAGTTTATCTTCATATGATGATGTCATCCAGTCACGGCTGAGTGATTTTAGGCTTGTGCTGCTGGGTTGCCTTCCTTCACCAGCAAATTTAAATGACATTGTATGTAACGGAACGACAGTTCGAGAATGAATTTTTTCGGGCTTTTCCTCCCCAGAACTGTTCATTTCACCCTGCTGATTATCAGGCTCAGAGCCTGCTGAATTCTGCCTGCTTCCACCGCTGCTGCTTTCACTCCCCTCAGCCATTGGTTCACCCCCATGCTGGACATGATACATCTTGGCTGTAAAAGAAAGGAAAATATCGATAATAAAAACACACTGGCAGATTAATGGGGGGGAATTCGCTTTTGGGGCTCAAAATATATTTTGATTATGGGTGAATAGTTAAAATGTTTTTAAATCAAATCAACTTGTTTTTGTGTTTCGACATATAACTTATAGTTGACAATTCACCAGATAATTCAATTCTTTAAAACTGCTCAGTTTCGCAGCTTGCCAGAGGTTCAAGTGAATTTTTCTTACCTATAACTCTCAAAAAAAAAATACTCTTCATAATAATTTTCGAGAAAATTTGAAAAAATTAACAGATAGTAGAATATAATGTTGATATAAAGCACTCGAAACAACTAACTGGGTAACTAATCCATTCCCTGACATGAACTGGTAGCCGGACAAGAGGCCGTGGTTTGCCATATGATTATGCTATTTTATCGGCTTTCCTCTCCCCCAGGATAAATATGTAAATCATAATGTACTTACCGTCATGTTTAACCCTGTATGGCGTCTGATAGGGAAATCCGGATTCACTTTGTCCACTAGGTGGTGACATATCTTGGAATGGGTTGTAGAGGGTATATTGCGGCCTGAAAATGATTGAAAAACTCATAAAAGTATAGAAATAAACGTCTATAGACCTGACATGAGCCCATTACGGCCCGAGGGCCAAATTCGGCACGTTGGGTAATATAATCTGGCCCGCCTGATGCTACCACAATCAAATCAAAACCAAATTTCGATATTTTAGCTGAATAATAGCTCAAGCAATTTGTTGAGATTGCCATTAAATTTAGTTTTAACACAGAGGCTTATTGTTTTCCACTGAAAAAATTGTTCATAAAATGTAACTTTTACGTCACACTCACATGGCCCGTCAGTCTTAGTGGGCAAAATTTTAGGCCCTCGGTTCAGAAACCTTGCCCCCCTCTACTATATCCAGTGCGGTACTCCTGAAGTATGCGCACCGAGATGTCGCATAGCCTGAACCCTAACCTGGTAAACGAGAATGTCGCGATCGAAAGTTAAAGGATCCCTCAAAACAGCGCTCCTACTCCATAGTAACACCTTGTATCCCATCACTAATTAATCAATAACTCGCTAATTATACGACATAATTAATCCAAAATCAATAGGCTTCTGGTACGACATATAATGAATGCACATGCAAAATCTGAAGCAGATTCAATCTCGCTTTCGTGAGATATCGCGTGCATCTAACAGACAAATACCTATCAACATACTTACCGATTAAAATCAATAAGTAACAACCTGAGTTCAGGTTGTGCGCCATCTTGGTGCGCATACTTCAGGAGGACCTACAGTGCACCAGAAGAGTTTCGGGGATTACTAGAAAGCATCATGGCCTTGATATTGTGGTGTGCAAAAACATATGCTGTCTTATAGGTTATCATTTATTGCTGGATTCATCGCAGTTTAACAGAACAGGTGAACTATTTCCATACATGTCTTGGACAGATAACTAGATCAGACATCTTCATGCACGAGGAACATACATGGTTCTGCTTCACTGCATGACCTAAGTCACCTTAACGACTTTTCTCTCTTCGAAATAAACGTTAAAAACCTATTTTTGAATCAAACAACTTACTTATTAGGATGATTTCCCAGTTGGTATCGTATCCCGTAAACTTCTGCATATCTTGCCCTTGTTTCAGCATCCTGAATAAACACAAAATACAAGATAAATAAAGTAGGTAAACAAAAATATTTACGGGCTTCAAGTCCGTGTGTCCGGAACAAGTAAGTAGTCAACCATTCCCATCTCAACATGGGCCGATGAAGGGATAAGACGCTCGACATGGGCCGATGAAGGGATAAGACGCTCGACATGGACCGATGAAGGGATAAGACGCTCGACATGGACCGATGAAGGGATAAGACGCTCGACATGGACCGATGAAGGGATAAGACGCTCGACATGGACCGATGAAGGGATAAGACGCTCGACATGGACCGATGAAGGGATAAGACGCTCGACATGGACCGATGAAGGGATAAGACGCTCGACATGGACCGATGAAGGGATAAGACGTCCGACATGGACCGATGAAGGGATAAGACGCTCGACATGGACCGATGAAGGGATAAGACGCTCGACATGGACCGATGAAGGGATAAGACGCTCGACATGGACCGATGAAGGGATAAGTTGTCCGACATGGACCGATGAAGGGATAAGACGCTCGACATGGACCGATGAAGGGATAACACGCTCGACATGGACCGATGAAGGGATAACACGCTCGACATGGACCGATGAAGGGATAACACGCTCGACATGGACCGATGAAGGGATAAGACGCTCGACATGGACCGATGAAGGGATAAGACGCCAAGCTCACGCTTAGATGGCTTGTCTTTATTTTCAGTAATCATTAATTTAATTCTTCACCATTTCACCATTCCGAAAATACTAACTATACACGCACAAATTGAAAGAAAAGTGAAAAAAAACGCACTTCAGGGTAAATAATGGAGGCGGCGAAAACTAATTCTGGTTATCGCGCGACGTTGCCTTTCTCTGCTTTTTAAATATGAAAATTCGCACTTTAGTTAAATATGCTTCAAAAACCTCCTAGACCTCATACAGTTATTCTATTCATATACAGGATGTGGTATGGTCATCATCTGAAATAAGGGGACATGTTTTGCACAATCAGCATTTCAGCTTTTTTTTTCTCAGGGATGGAATTAAAAACATTCTTTTGATAAAATATTATTTAATTTGTCTTTCAAATGACCTTTGACATATGAAGGTCACTTACCCCGATTCCATTTTCATCCAGTTTTCCGAGCATGATCTCATTCTGTCTTCTGATCTTTTCTTCTTCTGCAAGTTTCATTTCTGCAAGTCTGAATAGGAAAGGACCTTTAGATTTAAGGCTCGAAGATTGGCGCAGCGTGTTACGAGTTAGAAATACGCTTGTAACCTCTGATTACCCTGCATGGGGATACCTTGTAGAGGATAATTATATGCGGAAGGATTGCTAAACTCCTTGTCGTCTGTAACCCCTGGTACACTACGACTTTGAGATAAATATGAAATTCCTATTCATAACATAAAAACATACACATTCTATATTTTTTGTGCAAAAGTTGCAATTTTTGATCATGACAAGCGCTGAAAAAATTGAGTAAATTGAATAAATCGAAAAAGTTATGTCGCAATATATGTTGCGAACTATATCTAACAAAATTATCCTATAAGTGTACTTTACATAAAGACATCAAAAATCGGGCGACCCCGAAGTATGTGCACCAAGATGCGACATCTTGGTGCACATACACCTGGAGGTCCGAAAATAGTATAAAAAATATAAAATAGAAATGTGCCACCCAGAAGCTCCCGGATTTGACATCCCTGCTAAAGTAACACATTAATGGCAAGTTACAAATTCAGAATAAATTTTACCTCCTTGCAGCCCTTTCCTGCATTCGTTCTTGTGCGTAGATAGGAATCCCTCCATTGCTTCTGTGTGTGTACCGGTTCACAAATGTAGGGTAGGCCTAGAAAAATATTTGTTGTTAGTAAAGTTGTAAATGTACATGTATGCTGTGTTTAATCCATCTCTTGAATGTATGGGAAATCTGGCTTAGGCAATCTAGGCATGATGATACCGAAAGTTGTACTTGTGTCAATCCCTCAATCAGTATTATGGAGTATGAGATAAGTGACTGAAAATAAAAATAGCTTGTGCCTGTAATCCACCCCCGTTTCAGGAGAGGATTTTCAAATTTGTTCAGAAGAATTTCCTCACTCACTTATGAGTAGAGGAGACTCATCTCATAGTGACCACTCATTGCAAGGAAAAAAATACCATCTCCCAACGAATGCTCATTCGTAAGTGTGAGGAGACTCATCTCTGAGCAAAGGTAAGGACCAGTGTTCCCTCTAAGGTGTGCGCGCGCACACAGCTTTTAGAGGCTGCGCACACGCATAGATTTACTGCGCACAGACGTATTCCGATGTAATGTAACAATGTTCTTTTTTCACCCTTTATTTGAATTCAAATAAAACCATCTGTTACAATCAATTTCATTTCTTATTTTCCATGTATATTCATTGTTATCTACTGATAACATATAGCCTTCAATAAAGCATTTACAATCTATAGAAAAACTTATTGAATAACCAAAATTTTCTTGATAAGCCCACTTATTACCCGGTTAGAACGCCAAAATTTCTTCATTGGTTTTTGCACAAATATTAGTCATTTCCAAAAAAGTGCGCACACACCAAAATTTCTGCGCACACATACTACAAAAATTAGAGGGAACATTGTTAGGGACTATAGTCATGCGAGAGCTGTTGGCTCAAAATGTAGCAATAACATATTTCAAAAGATAATCTTACCTTAGTTCTCTGATCGTCCTTGTTTTCTCCTTTCTTGGAATTAGCAGGCAGAGGTGCAGAGATGGACTTCATATATCTTAGTGTAAAGAAGGAATATTGATAAAAAACTCTTCCTGGAATAAACATGGGAATCATATTCTATAACACAGGGGTCGGCAACCTAAGGCCCGCGGGCCGGATCCGGCCTGTGGAGCAATATAATCCGGCTCGCGACGCTTCACTGAATTATAGTAACAAATTATAGCTGTTTTGTCAATTATATTCTTTACGCAAAAGAATTTACGTGTAGACTAGACTATATTATAACGTAACAAGTATATAATTCACAATTACTCGTTTGATGAGACTATGATTTAATTATAATTAGACAAATGTCGACAAAACGCAGAAAAGTTGATGCTAAGTGCAAATGGTTTGATGGCGCAAAAAATATTCAAATGGTCAGTCTTCGCGTGCTGCTTAAAATTGAACTTTTGATCTGTGTGATAAAATGTGATTCATCGGCCATCCATTCGATTTTTAACTTTCTTAAAATATGTGCGGCCCACCAATGATTTGAAACTTTTAATTTAGGCTCACAAGCGACCAAAGGTTGCCGACCCCTGCTATAACACAATCATCAAATAATCAAATAACTGAATCATCTTTTCAGCTCCCCCCCCCCCCCCCCCCCAATATCAACTGTCACAAACCTCGGCCTTCTCTTTCTTTTTTTCTTTTTTTTCTGCCGATTCGAACTTGGTTGCTCTTCAGGCATTTCTGGTTCCGATTCACTGTCGCTGTCAGAACTTGTGCTGTGAATAAAAACGAGAATAGTAAATGAGCGTGTCTGGGTGATTATGGATTAATGGCTTCAATTTGAAGCTTGGCATTGATGGCATTTGCTTACAGGTCATGTGAACACGCTCTGAAATAAAAAAGATTAATGTCTGAGCAAAGTTACAGGCAATCACTTAAATGCTACAGAGAGAAAGAGATTATTTTGTGGAATTGCAGGTTAGTAAATACTGATTGACACAAGATTGTCAAGATTCCATATAACTTGAGTTATTGAAAAACAACTTGGGCATAAAAATGTAATTTCACTTTGAACTAGACCTTCAAATTATATGCCAAGCAAGAGAGCAATACTCAAACGCATGAAAACAGATTTTTAATGACCACATTGAAAATATACAAAACGAAATACTTACTCTGATTCAATGGCTATTTCCTTGAAATTGATTTGCTCCAACAATCTAAAACAATTTTCATCTAATTCAGTAGATTTCTCTTCATTTTCCTGGTTTTCAGCCTCTTCCTTCATCTCTTCAGGAGGTCCAGGAATAGAAGTTTCAGTTTCTTGAGTTGATTTCAGTATTGATTTGTCTGTGGAACCTAGAAGCAAGTGCTAGAGCTGTAAATTATTTCGAAAAAGGAGCCGTCGAGCCTGGGCTTGGAATGTTTGCATTGGAGTCGAGGCCTTGTTTTCAAACCCCTGGGGGATTTTATCGAGTCAAAGTTTTGAATTCCCTGTAGCTAGACTTCAAACTCTTAATGAGGATAATAAATTCCAGATTTTATATCGAAACTTGGAGGATAAAAATAAAATTTATTGAGAGTTTTTAACAATGTATTAATTAAATAAGGCGTATTCTTTTCTGTGTGAGACTCATAGTCATGCTTCAAAATGTTTCCTTCACCGCAAATACCCCGTAAGTAAAATGAGTCATTTATGTTCAATATTCAGTTCAAGGTGAATCAGAAAGACGAAACCCAGATCATTTGGAACGTATTCTATAAAAGGCTTGACTTCTGTGCAAAGCTTCCTAGAGGAGTTCCAGTTTAAATAAATTGTCATATAAGTAATTCAGATATTTCTGAATTCTGTATTTTTTTAGGATCATCCACCTGTTACTCCAGCTTTGTTCTGCTGTTTGATTGGTTGTTTACTGCCATTCTGTTTCCCTCCCTCTTCATCATCAGAAGCACGAAGGGCAATTGGACGTTTTGGGTCTCTTTGCTGTTTTGGACTCTTGGATTCTAAGAGGAAACATTGTACCATGACATTTAAGTGTAAAATGACAACTTAAATTTTGAAAAACCAGGGGCCTCCCCACCCCCCTATCAAGTCATCAAGTGTGGCCCATGTAAACAGATTTTTCCCCTGCAATCATGAAATCCTAATCCGCTCACAATGTAAAAATACAAGTTTTTTTTTTGATTTTATTACTGTAAGGCTAAGCAATAGCCACATTTCATTTCTCAAAAAGTAGCATATTTTCTTCATATTGATAATGCACTATTTGTAATCAGTATGTAAATTGAAAAGAGCATTTCAGAGTGAAGTGAGAGTATGATCCAGTACTAGTTATCAAGCAGAGCTAACATAAAGTCATGCTAAAACAGTACGTACTAAGTCCATGCATCAGAAAACCTCGACTTGGCTGATCCCACCGTCGACATGGACTGGTAAAAAGACAGGCCATGGTTCACCATATGGATAAGCCGGTTCCATTACATTTGAACCCACGTACATTTGAACCCATGACCCCTATGGATTTTTTTTTGTTTTTCGGATAGTTGAACTCATACTAACCCTAACCCATGGGTTTTAGCACCCGCATATAGATTGAACCCGTGGATATACGCATGGGTTCAAATGTACGTGGGTTCAAATGTACGGTCACCGGATAAGCCGTCTTATCACCTTTCCTCGCCCCCGGGATAAATATGTAAATCCTAAGTCCTAACAAAATAAGCATTTCCCACCTTTATCCATACTTTTGGTTTTACTGTTGCCAGTTTCACTGCTTATTGTAGAAGATTGCTGCTGAGTGGCAGGAGCTGATGTTGTTGGGTTTTGCATTATTTGTGGATTTGTTTCCATCATCTGTATAAGAGAATAGTGCACAAGTATATAAACACGAAAATTTGTGTATTGCTACAGGTACAATGATGCCTCAGTTAAGCAACAGTATTCAGTATTTTATTTCTTCACCATCATGTAAATACACATTGTACAAACAATATAAAAACAAACGTAAAAATGGTATTTCAGGGTGAAGAGGGCGTAAAAAATCAATACTGGTTAATAGGCAGCGACACCTGTGATTAAGTCTAACAGTAATCAGGAGAAAGAAAAAAGTCAAACATTGTATCAATTAAGAAGTTTACAGCAACGCAAGTTCACCACAACTGACAGGAGCAAATGAATTATTCGATCGTAATCTCTGGAGTGTGCTCCGCCGAATGGTCAGCTTGACAAAACTCACAAGAATAGAGGTTGTTTAATAGAATAGCCATGACAACATGGGAACAATTATAAACCAACGCTAAGGCTCACTAATGTCAGATGGATTCCTAAGATAAACATAAATTTTCTTTACAATTTCAATTTTGTTATGACATAATTTCTCAATATCTCTTAACCTGGTTTGTTGTTTTTTAATCAGTAATTGTTCAATCATTTTCACTTCATTCAATACATCTGTGGCCAAAACAATATATGGTATTGATGAGTTCCAAGACTTTATGGATATCTTATACATAGTGAAATGGAAAGGTAGATGGTCTGGCGATGTTATATTGAAAATACACAAGTGTACATTTAATACGATCCACTAGGTGATGACCTGCAGAAAAACTACAACACCGTTGACCATACATGCCTTGAAAGTAACATGTAGTGAAACCATTCGAGGAAAACTCATTTAGACTGTTTTCTAGGCTTTTATTAACTTAAAGATTACTACTATACTGAAACAAGAAAAAGAACATGTTACAAGATGTAGCAACCTTGACGCACGCTAACCAAATAAAATCCAAGATTTACCACGCGACTATTAACATTTCAGATCGCTCGGCGATGGTGCCACATTGGCCACATTAGGTGACGCTAATTCAGTTTCATCACATAACACAGTTTCAAAAACTGTGTTCTCCACTCCATCATCAGCTTTCCTCTCCCCAAAATAAATATATAAAAAATCCTGTCATGTCTGTGCTTTTAGGATAGGATTTACATATTTATCCCGGGGGAGAGGAAAGCCGATAAGACGGCTTATCCATATGGCGAACCACAGCCTCTCGTCCGGTTACCATTCCAAGTCGGGTATGGGATTAGTTATATTGTTTGTTTTTTTCGGAAGCATTGACTTGGTGGTGGAGGAAGCCGTAACCGACCAGCAGTTACGTGAACCACACAACGACGGCGAGGAGTCCAGCAATCCTCTCGCACATAACCATCCCTGCATGGGATTCGAACCTGCGAACCCACGCAGAGTAATTAGAGGTGCGGTGGCAAGCGTACTCTTAACGCTTAGCCCGTTGAGCCACACCGCCACGCCATTTACTCACATGTTGTGCCAAGTCCTTAGTCAACTCCATCACAAGCCTTGATTTAAGTAGCGGGTTGTCTAAAACTCTCTCGTAATCTAAAACACTCTCGCAGAGAGAACGACCGATTGAGAGAAAATCCTCAATGTTGAAATGCCGCCCAGAATCCCTGAAAAGATTTTGAAAATAAGTTCAAGAGAGAGTAGAATCAAGTATGATGCCCAAACAGTTGTCGCATTGTGCAAATCATTTGGCATCCCACTATAGAAAAAAGGGAAAATTACGGCCGGCATGCCAGATCCAACCCACTTATGCATGCTGAAATTACAACTATAGTTTTTATGAATAAAAATATTGCCATAAAGAACCTGATTGTTACCTACATTGTGCTTCATATTATAATATAAACATTAGCCTAGCTGTTGTAAATAAACTGGCTCACTCAGATAAGCAATTGCTCACCCCTGCACCATACTAGATATTGGAAAAATCTATAAATATGTTGAAATTTCACAAAAATTACAAGTCATGAATTAACAAATTTCCCCAAGAACCGACATTTATATCACAAGAATAAATGAAAATGAGTTTTTGAGACTAACTTTATTAGTCAGTCACATTTACACTAAAAATTGAATTCGGGAAAATTTAACGCTCATCCCGATATTAACATGGCAGATTTTTGAATTATCATCATAATAAGTTGTAAAATTTTTGATTTTTTCAATATAAAAATAATCTTGTTTAGAGAGACTAAAATTGGTATTTACCATTTTTTCTGCATTGTCCCTGAGAATGAGGCTTCGAGAGTAAAACTATTAGAAATCCCAAATTGTCTAAACATGACAACACGTCCCGTTGATTCTTTACATTTTCTTACCGCATATTTGCTGCCGTGGAAAGAGAATCTAAAGATAGAAATGATGATAATTAAGAGGCAGTCAGGATGCACGGTTCAAGTGACGCTTCCTCACTCGGTTGGCACACTCGAATGTTCGAGGACTAAATTTCCGTTTGAGTACTGCAGCATTTTTGACTAAAATTTTTTGGTTGACTACTGAATTGTTACTTATCGATCTTAAGATCGATAAGTATGTTGATAGGTATTTGTCTGTCTGTCTGTTTGTCTGTTAGATGAACGCGATATCTCGCGAACGCATGGTTGAATCTGCTCCAAATTTTGCATGTGCATGCATCTTACCTCGGACCAGAAGCCTATAGATTTTGGGTTAATTATGTCGTATAATTAGCGAGTTATTAACTAATTACCGATCTAAGATCGATAAGTCTTCGGTCTCCGACCGATATTCTCGTTCGAGTATTGAGTTGTTAGACTACTAGCACACAGAGCATAGCCAGAAATTTTGGAAATCAGAAAGAAGGGGTTCCAGAAATTTCTGACTGCCTAGTTAGTCCGCGGGATCACCGGGTCCGCCAGAAAATGTGAGTTTAAAATCTTGAGTGTCTAAGACAGGGAGGTCCAAACCCATGTGGCCCGCCACTCCATTATCTGTCGCCCGCGTCACATTCGAAGACATGTGGCCCGCCAACAATAAAAAAATAAATTTGTGGCCCGCGGAGCCGACAACCTTGGACCACCGGGTCTAAGAGGTTATTAGGCTTCGAAAATTGCTATGCTTGATACAGAAAAATGCCCTTTTTTACATTTCAAAAGAGAGAGGAAAGCCCTAAAATGACCTAATCATATAGCAGGCAGCATTTCATCAAGTTAGCATGTAAAGCAGGGGGTGGGCAACATACAGCCCGCGCCGAGCTTTTGACCGGCCTGCTGACTGTATCCAACCACACTCTGTAATGTAGTCCGACGCATCATTCATGAAAGTTGCCGATCGCTCTACTCTTGCCGCACTGTCAGTGCGAGCTGATGAAATAAACAATTGCCTTAGTGTGCAAACAATTGCGTTAGCACACTTGTAAAACAAACAATATAATGTCAAAGTAGAGAGCGTTGTAAACATTCCCCACTACTGTTATCAGTTATATTTAGATTCTAAATATATATAGATTTTAGAAATTAGGTTTTATATTAAGTTTTATTAACATGGAATATCCCAAGAAACGTAAAGTTGACAGAGAGTGTCGAGCATTTAACAAAGATTGGATACCGAAGTATTTTCTGTAATAATCCGGCCCGTCGAGGACTTCATTTTCCCACATCTGGCCCGCCGACTAGAGAAGTTTCCCACCCCTGGTGTAAGTTAAGGGAATAGTCAGGTAACTTGTTCGTCCTTTCAGACACATGGACTTAGCATTTACGAATTTCTTTAGGCTGCTTATTGCTTCAATAAACGAACCTTTCAGGTGATCTTTTATGCATCAACCACGGAAACAATCTTTCTTCAATAAAATCTTTTGCACAATCTCTCGGACTTCGGTCATCAGGATCAACATTTTTACCTAAAAATTAAAAAATTCAAAATTTTCAAGACAGAATGCAAATGTTAAATTTTTGAATTTGTTTGAGAATTAGGTTTTCAAATCATAGATTGAGGCAATATTTAAATTCAATAAAAAAATCAAAAATACATGATTTTTCTCATTTTTTTCAACATGGTGGATCTTGAAGGTCAAACCAACTCCCTCCCTTCTTATTTTTTAAATGTAGAAAAAAAAAATTTCTGTATTCATAGCAATCTTTCATAGATTAAAATGTTTTTCAGGTCCTCAAGACACTTGGAAAGCTTGACATTTTAGAACCTTCCATTTGGCTATGCCACTGTATAAGCCCTGCGATAGTTACGCTGACAAATAACATAAATTTTTCCAATAATTATCCACTTACTATTCTTCCCAGTATATAGAGCTTTTCTTTCACATCCATACATGAAGACCATTGGCTTCCTGCTGTGGCCGTGCAGATCACAATACAGGATGATCTAAAAAGAATAAATATGCAGGGTAAGTGTATTGATGATTTAATTGGCTGGTTTTTGGGGTGTGGTGGGGGCATGGCATACCTCAGAATGAGATTATTTCTGAGAAAGTGAGCGCAAGTTTCCGCAACTTTGTAATCATTGCGTCTCTCACACTTATTACTGATCGATTTTAATCGGTAAGTATGTTGATAGGTATTCTGTCTGTTTGTCTGTTAGATGCACACGATATCTCACGAAAGCTAGATTGAATCTGCTCCAGATTTTGCATGTGTATTCATCATATGTCGGACCAGAAGCCTATTGATTTTGGATGATGTCGCATAATTAGTGAGTTATTAATGAATTAGTGATGGGACACAAGGTGTCAATATGGAGTAAAAGCGCTGTTTTGGGGGATCCCCTAACTTTCGATCGACGAGTCTTCGGTCTCTTACCGATATTCTCGTTTGTTTACTCGCTCAGATGAGGTTTTGTTTGTTGCTCTTTACAGAGTTCAATGGGCTTACCTAGGATAGGATTTACATATTTATCCCGAGAAAGAGGAAAGACGATAATACAACTCAACCATATGGTGAACCACGGCCTCTCTTCCGGTTACCAGTCCATGTCGGATGTGGGATTAGTTAGCAAGTCATTTGTTTCCAGATACATGGAACTAGCCAGATCAATTGGTTCATTCGGTGCTGGGGTGTTCCAATTTTTATTAAATTTCAAATTATTCATTTTTATTCAGATTAACAGTTCTTATTTCTAGTAGATTATAAATAAAATATTTTGCATTATTGCATGAAGAATATATATTGTCTCCTTTATATCTGAATGAGTGAGAGTAACTTTGCTCAGATGAGTCCATTTTGCTTCCGAGTGATTCCATAATGGAATTTAATACACTCACTGAATTCGATTTAAGACTTTTATGGGATTAAGAAAAGTTTGTTTCTCGTTTACAGATATTTTGAAAATCACGATTTGTCGTTGCGGAGGATCACGGTTAACCAGAAATGAACCAGCGTAGCGGAAGCCAGAGGTCGATGGGTCGGAACCGTCCTTTGATACCATTTGTTAAAGCGACTCCAATGTATATTTAATAAATGTCTTAATCAAACAGCAATGAATGTCCAAATCAATAACCAAAGTAACACATACAGACATAAGCAACACCAACTGAGCTGTGCACCAGACTACTGAGAGCACATCACCTTCACAAGTGGTTGGTCATGATCGGTCACCTGCAACTGATGACATCAAAGGTCATTCTCAACCATCTGGGAAAATACTAGTTGCCAGAAATACAGTTAATAACTAGCCTCTCAAGCTATTTCGAAAAAAATTGTATAAAGACTGCTCATAGACATTCATATCTCTAAGAAAATATAATAAAAATTCCATCCTGCACTAGATTCTAAAAATAGATGAGGGTCATTGTAGCATAAACACAGACAAATGAGTTAAGTGTTTTCAATATTTACTGAGAGGATCTCAAGTGTGCTTTTCTTTGACAACTGATGCGTCCACACTGAAATTTACGATTGCTATTATCATCAATCATAACTTCAGCTTTATGTAAAATTTAACAAATATCATTATTAGTGCTTGATTGATTTTCTGTAGAGCAAGGTAAAAACGAGAATATCGGTTGGAAACCGAAGACTTATCGATCGATAGTTAGGGGATCCCCCAAAACAGAAACTGCAGTTTCGATTCATCCGCTCTTGTAACTTGCGCACTGCGCATCGCACACACACACTCGGCGGGTCTCAAAATTCTTTCGCTTTACAAAAATCTAGATCACTATATCAATAATTGATTGATAACTCGCTAATTATACGACATAATTCGCCCAAAATCAATAGGTTTCTGGTCCGAGATAAGATGAATGCACATGCAAAATCTGGAGCAGATTCAATCTCGCTTTCGTGAGATATCGCTTGCATCTAACAGACACACAGACAGACAGACAGACATACAGACAAATACCTATCAATATACTTACCGATCTTAAGATCGATAAGTAACAAACCAAATATTTAGAATCAGTCATATTCTATATGAAATTCTTCAACTTAGAAATAATCTAGAATATTCTTGTTGAAAAGCATACTAATTACAAAAAGTTTTTTTGTAAAAAATTCAAAGTGAATCATAATTTGAATGTAAAAAAGCAAATTCCACTTGAAAAACATACATTCCAAATCACAGTAATTTTAAATTTTGTTCAAATTACATATGATCTTTACATTAGCTCAACAATTTAACCTCAACTTGTACTTGTCCACTGATACGAAAAAGCTATCGTTTTAAAAAGCAGCAAAAAGCTTCCCAGATCTGCATTGCTTACTTAATTATTAGACCCTCGATGAGTTGGTTTAATCGGTAAGTATGTTGATAGGTATTTGTGTGTCTGTCTGTTTGTCTGTTAGATGCACGCGATATCTCACGAAAGCGAGATTGAATCTGCTCCAGATTTTTCATGTGCATTCATCATATCTCGGACCAAAAGCCTATTGATTTTGGGCGAATTACGTCGTATAATTAGCGAGTTATTAATTAATTAGTGATGGGCCACAAGGTGTCACTACGGAGTGAGAGCTCTGTTTTGGGGGATTCCCTAACTTTCGATCCCTACGTCTTCGTCTCTGACCGATATTCTCCTTTTTTTATTTATCATCTTCAAGAATATTTACTCAAAGCGAGGTCATGGAAACTCAGAGAAATGATCTGTGAGCAAAGATGTGTGCAAACATTAAAAGTCTAACAGTCTTACCCTGGGATGGGCAATTACTTTCCTGAGTGGGAGAGATGCGAATAATAGACTTTGAAAAGTTTATTTGTCCTCAAGGCAGATACACATATACAGGTCCTTTACCCAGGCCTGTTACAAACACTGAAGTAACACCCTCACATAAACATGTAAACAAGTAATAATTACTAAGTAACAACAAGTAATGGCACAATGATTACAAGTGTCTGGTAAAGTAATCTGATCAAAACATTCACAGACTTGGTAACTGGGCAGGAGGATCAAAACTCAATATGATTAAAAAGGATTTATTTGCAAATAACTAGACACAACGATTAATGGGACGTTATTACAGAGGATGGCAAATTATGGAACAGAGAAAATTGATAGAAAAAGAACTTATATCATCGATATTTTAAAAGGTATACCGTATTTGCTCGTTTTGTAGCCCGGGCCCATATTTTTTTAATCAAACTTATTCAAACCGGCCCTTATTCAAGCACGGGCGCTTGTTATTTTTAAAGTAAAATTATACACAAAAATATATAAAAAAACATATATATATATAGATAAGATCGATCATTACAATAATTAATATATTGTCATTTCCAGTTCTCAAGTATGATTTTAACGAGAATAGCGAAAATTCTGACTTCTTCTACGCACCGCAGGTACAAATCCGCAAAAGAAGAAAAGTTTTGCGACGCCCTATCAATATTGAAACGACGCACTTGGGTGTCGCGACGCCCAGTTTGAGAACCACGGTGTTACGTAATCAGGACGCCTAAGGCGTGAGTGTTATCTACTAGCGCTTGAAATTCAACAGCGTTGTGACAAAAGCGCTTCTTATTTCCTATTGTTCTCTACCACTGAAAAATCAGCTTCTACATCGGGCGGGTATTCAAGCACCGGCCCTTATTTATTTTTATGTTCTTCACACGGGCGGCTATTCAAACAGGCCCTTAATCAAGATCGGGCGGTAAAATGAGCATATTCGGTATATATATACCTAAATGTTCATAAAAACTATAGTCATAATTTCAGCATACACAAGTAGGATGAAACAATCCAGAGGGTCGGATCCGGCACCATGTCGTGATTTGCCCACCACTGATCTAATTATTACATTATAGCAATACCTCATGATCTTTACTGAATGATTCCACCATTTGTTTTGTGTGCCATATGGTTGGAAACGTCATTTGTCTTGGATGTCGGTAATTGCGGTTCAAGTCTCTTGCAGCCAGTGATGTTCTGTAGTTGCCTACAATTACTCCATCTGGGTTTAGCATTGGAACAACCTGGAAAAATGAGCTATATCTCTCAAGAAACTGGAATAGTAATTATATTTCATTTATTACATAAAAGTGGAAATGCTGGTTGGACTGAACATCTTTGAATTGCGACACCATTACAGATACGTATTAAGCTGTTAAACCGAAGTCTTCACCAAATTTGAGAGAGAAGATATGATAAGGGAATAACTACAATGAAATTTACGTGGTCATAAGATTTGAAAAGTACACTCTGGAAATTCCTAATTTTGATTCCCAAATCTTAGGTATTTGTAAATATGATTTTGGCTACGACTCTAAGTGTACTTGCTAATTATAAGTCAGTACTCCCGTAGTATGTGTACCAAGTAAGGGTTAGGCCATAATTTTGATTTTTCGTACTTTAGTTCTATTACGAGTTCGGGGACTGTCTGTGTTAGCCAAGTGAATATACCCCCTGCCCATTGGTCTGAGTCCCCTTACTTAATTCGATGAAAAGTAGGCGAACAAAATTAGTTACCTCCATATCGGAACATCTGGAGCGCAAGTCTTTACAATTGGTCAAGGCCACAAATTATAAACCCTGGCAAAAAACAGACATCACGCTATAAACTCAACTACCAGACCACTTACTTTAAAAACAAATTTCTTTCTCAGTAACTTTGCTCTCAAACAATCCGAGGTCAAAAAATCAATAACTCCCTTCATCATCCAACTGGCTTGAGATTCCCCGGGATGGACTCGAGCTGTGACAACAACACCTTTCTTTTCCTGAGAGAAAACCATTGAATTATATGATAGCGTGCAATTGCTTTTTATGCATAAATTGCTTCTTATATGGGGGCTTGCCCTGACGAAATTTCGAAACGCATAAAAAGCAGGTAGTTGTGTTGTGCCAAAATAACCAAGTCAAAGTAAAAGCAATGTGGAGGTAATTACACAAAACGGAAGCTTCCAGCAGATAAATTACAAATGAGGGAGACTCTACAGACGGCCTGCGGACTGGGAATTTTGACCGCCCCGCTGACTGTACATCAGTACATTGTGATATTACAATATTACACTTTTAGTACATTATGATAAATTCATTACGTGTATTTTGGTCTCTATTTTTTTGAAGTTTAAACTTTACTTTAAACGCGATTTAAAAAATTTCTTTCTTGCATTTGCGAATAAATATGTGATTAAGATATTGAATACTATTCATATTGATAATCCGGCCCACCGAGGACTTCATTTCCCCACACCTGGCCCGCCGACTAGAGAAGTTGCCCACCCCTGCTCTACAGTGTATGGATGAGAAGTAGTACTAATCTAGTGGAATCTAATCTTTTACCTTTACAATCAAGTAATTTATGCATAGGACAGTTTCTGATACGGCAAAACATCTAATTCAGTTAGCAGTCTGAGTCAGAAATATAGATAGTCATTACACGGTGCTCCCGAAGTATGCGAACCAAGATGGCGGTCATCGGAACGTAACATGGGTAACAGGTTAGGGTTAGGCGATAATTTTTTTCCAATTTTCCTTATTTTAGTCCTATTATCAGTTCGAAGACTAGCCAAGAGCCTCCCGTAGTATTTATACCTAAAATTATGGCCTAACCCTAACCTAGTACACATATTACATTCCGATGTCCGCCATCTTGGTTCGCATACTTCGGGAGCCCCCATTACACAATGTAATCACAATGCAAGTAAGCAAGTCCATGCTCTTCAGAGCAACCATTCATAAATTTGCTCACACGTAGTCTGTCAAACTCAAACTTCCTTCAAAACTTAAAATTGGAGTGTTGTGATATATTACCTGATGGAAGTCTTTATATTTATCTTTCTCCTTGTCTGGGAATTCAGTGATTGTAAGCAGGAAGCAAGCATTTCCTGCCGTAGACTCACATAAGACTTCTCGCTTTACGTGTCGTGATTGGTCAGGATCAGCCATCAGATTGTCCAAATGCCTTTTCAAATCTGTGTATGTGTACGGATAGCAATGTGCGAAGTATATATTGTCGTCTTCAAGATTCTCCCAGTCAAAGGTCACCTGAAAAATATTGACAAACGAAGTAGGAAGAAATGTAAAGCAGGGGTGTACAATCTGTGGGCCAAATATGGCCCACAAGTGAGAATTATGCAAGAGTGCCAATTTTAAATGATGTGCGGCCCCCGAACAACGCATGTCATCAGATCAATAATCAATGAGAAATTTTTGTGATTGCAAAAACCAGAGAGCCTATGCTAAATAAAGGCGCGGCTCGCGATTTTACTAAGTTATTTGTATGCGGCTCTCTTGTAGAGAATGAGATTCCACATTTTTAGTTTATCAAAATGCTTTTAATAATTTTAGAATTGGAAAATTTTGGGGAGCTGAAATTGCTCATAATTTTGTCGGCTCTGAGAAATGATTTTGTTGTATAAGTTGTAAGTTTTCATGTTTTTTGTACCATACAAATCTCGTACCATAGAAAATGATATAAAAAACCAAGGGCTCTAGTGCAGTTAGCAGTTCAGGTATAGCTGGTTTGGCGAAACACATTTTTGAGTGTTGCTTTTCAAGAACCCCAAACTATGAAATAACATAACAGCCCGACTCCACAATCCTGGTTCCTATGGCTTCGAATAAATCCTACTGCTTGATGTTTAATCCCTTACCTCGAACTCTAAGTTATAATACTGTAAATCCAACGATAAAAGTCCATTCCTTGTTGGATTTGTCCATGGAAGATATTTGATGTTTTCACCGTTCCTGTGCCAGCCCAACTTTTTCTCTGTTGCCAGGTTTTCAGAGTAGATAAGCGGTTTCATTCCTGTAGAAAAAATAGATAAGATTTAATTAAAACATTTAGTATATTTACACGCCCTTACTGCTTATTTAGGAGACGTTTTCACACATTTACTTGTGCATTCACAGAGCTTTGAAATATAGATTCTCAAAGTGCTCCATATGTCCAAAGAAGCAATAACAGCATTAGTAAAATTTGACAATGGTAGTGTTGAAATATGGCAACAAGGAATTCAAATTTGACATTATCTAACTTCTGAAAGATAGTGCAATGCCTTGTTTCTACTTACCGGTACTTCTCTATCAGCACTCTTTAACTGATACTTTGCTTTGTACAAACTTGCAAATAAATGAGATTTAGAAAAATTTAAATTAGAAGTGGCAGGAGGAAGTTAAGCCCATCTGAACTTCTATTACGACAACACTAGACTTACCGTAATTATACAAACTGTCCTTCTTCAGGAAATTGATGATGTTGAATTTATAAGTAACGTTCCGTTGCGCGTTCTGGATTCTGAAATAATACCACTGGGTGTGTCGTTTTGTATACATGTCGGTTCGGAGAACAAGCTCGTATTCAAATTCCCCACTGAAATAATAAGACTAATGATATATGAAAGTTTAAGGTATCACGTATAACTTAAGGCTGGAGACTGGGGAAAAGAGCATTATCTCAGTGGCTCGCAAAATTCCAACTTCGACGGTGAAAAAAGAGTTATGTGCAGTACTTTTGAAGAACATAACGTTTATGTAAAGCATCCTAAATTTCTGAATCTTTTGGGTATAATCATACATGAATAAAAATTTAACAGTTGAACCAATTTTCTTCATTTTGGTAGAAGCAATTAATGATTTTTTTTAGGTCACTCTGTTACTACTTTTTTGGCTGCTATCAATTATTGACTTTAATAATGGTCTACATGTTTACTATCAACGATCATTTTTCCGCACTTACATTCTCCGAACTTGTCTTAGATTCCCAGATTCAAATCTTGACTCGAAGATGAGAGATTCGGGGAATCCGTGAGGTATTGCGTGAGGTAGAGGAGCTCGAGATGAACGCTCACAATCATAGATCACAGGCTTGCCTCGCCACTGCTGGAAAATAAAATATTGCTCAAATATGTTGCTGTCATTGCTGGAAATAAGAGAAAATCTCTAATATATAAGATTTAGGACAGGATTTGGTGCTCCCGAAGTATGCGAACCAAGATGGGGACATCGGAACGTAACATGGGTAACAGGTTAGGGTTAGGCGATAATTTTTTTCCAATTTTCCTTATTTTAGTCCTATTATCAGTTCGAAGACTAGCCAAGAGCCTCCCGTAGTATTTACACCTAAAATTATGGCCTAACCCTAACCTAGTACACATATTACATTCCGATGTCCGCCATCTTGGTTCGCATACTTTGGGAGCCCCCAGGATTTTATATTTATTCTGAGCAGAGGGAATCCAAAATGAGGGCTCAATCATATGGCAAACCATGACCATTCTTCTGGTTACCAGTTCATGTCAGGTATGGGATTAGTTAGTCAGTTATTTGTTTCAGATGCATGGACTTGATGATGAACGAAGCTTTAACCGATAAGCAGTTATGCGAGAAGTCCAGCAATCCTTTCGCACATAAATATCCCCACTGGATTCAAAACTGCGAACCCACGCAGGGTAAGGAGAGGTGCGAGGTGAGTGCATTCCTAACGATGCGCCACACCGCCGAGTCAGGATTTTTATATTTATCCAAGGAGAAGCCGATAAGATGGCATAATCATATGACAAGCCTTTCATCTGTTTGAATCGTCCATTGAGGGTATGGAATGATCAACCAGTTATTTGTTTCAGATGCATGGACTTGTCTAAAATGCCAGTGGAAACCTATTCAAATAACACAGATTTTCAATATGATCAGAAATAGCCATATACGATTTTATAAATTCACACTGAGAATCTCTTTCAAAAAAGTAATCGGCCATGAAAACTCATGAGCCAACTGAAGTAAGTTTATTTAGTATTTATATTTCAAAGTAGTCTTATGTTAAAGCAGGCTGAATAATAGAGGCTCAGAGTGAACTTGAATACATAATAGAGCGTATTATGTGAAGAGACTCTTGAATCTATTGCGGTTGGCGCTAGCGATTACTAACTGAAGATGTGAGCAAAAGAATGATCCTTGAGTTGATTTGCGAGACTAACTCCTTTATGCTAGCAGTGGTTCTCAACCTTTTACTGACCGCGTACCACTTTTGTGTTCTTTACCATGGCCGCGTACCACCGACACCACCACCGGTAGTATTTTATGTGGCACTTCAACCCTTTTTAAAGCTTCGTGCAAAGTTTCAACGTATTAATTATATGCAGTAACTACATAATAATTGCGTGCAAAATCACGAGAGAATTTGCGTCGTTTACCGTCAGCTCTAATCATCACCACCACTGAATTATCCCAAAACTCGGACAAATACACCTCGGTCGACACTAGCCAGAACTGCCTAAACTAGTCTTCAAATTATTTGGACTCAAAAGTCAAGATTATGCCGATCAACCAACACATACATCAGATAATAATAGTAACATATTTATGATGTATCTAGGCTCTATCAGTGTATCTTGACACGCGTCGAGCACCCCTCCGAAGTCCGAACGCTCCCTTCGTTGCCAATTTCTCAATGCTGATGCATTGTGGACATAACATGTGAAACGGGTGAAAATATGCTCGTCTCGTTTCTTTTTAGGTGGTAGTAGCGGGCGAGAGCGCTCATTAGAGAGAAGAGACTGGTAATGCTATAAACTATTCAGTGAATACATTCAGTAATGGAAGATTGCGATTGGAAGAAGCGTGTCTGCCATATTTCAGCCACCGCGAAAGTCGGTTGTTGCAATAATTTAAAGCTTCTCGTGTACCACTTGAAAAGCCCCCGCGTACCACAGGTTGAGAACCACTGTGATAGTGGATCCGCATCAGTATACTGCAAGGATGCTATAGCAGGAATAAACATGACTATTCTATCCAATTCAAGAGCTGCATACTAACCAACATTCCCTCTAAGAGCTTGCTTAGTTGCGCGGAATAGAAGGCCATGTGAGCTCCAAAAAAAGGTCTGCGCGGAAAATTAGAAAAAATAGAGAAGAACACAATATTTCAAACATTTTTAATACTTGTGCAGTGCGCGGCAGAACGAAAGTACTGCACAGGGATTCTCGGCCAGCTCAGAAGGAACGTTGATATCTACACATATGTATACCACGAATACATTTGAGTCAAGTGCGCAACAGGACTCTGAATTGGATGGAATATTGATCAATAAAGTTTTCGGTGGAATATCCCAATGGCTAGTGCCTAACTATGTTGGCACAACAATTGCTCGTGGCAATATCTCGCTTTGATTTAAACTGTTAGAAGCAAGAACGGATTAATATATGAGTAATTAAACTTATTTAGTTTAATAGTGTGGCCTCGTGACAAAAAGAACTCCAAAAACCATTGGCTAAATGATGTAACTATATCGACATTGCAGGATAAAGATATCAGTTTAAACCTGATTGGCCACAGTTTCACCCATGATGTAAAAAATGCGGTTGGCAATTCAGAGCAGAAAAAGTTTCGATCTTGAAAAAATACAATAGCTTCCTATAAGGAAATTTGCAGAATACATCATAAAACAAGAGAGCAATGCTTGAATATACGGACTCAGATCAGATTTCATAGCATTCATAGAAAATTTAGGAATAATTGAAAAAAATCGTCTTCTAGCGAATAATACAATCTTTAACCACTGAAAATTTTAAAGTACTTGGTCCATTAGTTAATGAGAAAAGTGATTTTTCCATGAAGTAACAAGAAAAAGAATAACAACATCAACATAATAGTAACAGAACGATCCGTAGAAACATTTAGTGTCCAATATTGGAAAAATTTAATTTGATAATTTGAAATAGTTTAGATGGGCGATATTGGTGTCCAATAATGGAAAAATTCAATTTGATAATTTGAAATATTGAAATGGGCAATATTTTGATTGAATTTCTATTTTCACAGTGGCATTTATTCTGTTTATGGACTATTGATTTGGTTTGATGAAGAGGTTCTTCAATTTTTTTGCGATAATATCTCAGACCCTTAAAAAACCACAAGATCTATTCAAACCTTCTGTTCTTTGTTGTTTACATTTTGTAGTTTATCACCATGGTGATGGTTTCTATGGCGATTATCGCTGTTGTCATTTGAATAAAATTCTCCGATTGTTGGGTGATTACGTTCAGATCTCAAAGATCTTGAAGTTTCTGATCCGTTGTTGTTATTGGACATAAAATGCCTGCTGTCTCCTTGTTGCTGATGTAATTGACGCCATTTTGTTTCCATATTGTTGGCAACCGATCTTCCAAAAGTTGTGGAAGCACCGCTAGCTTGCATCTTGAGAGAGGGATCTGAAATTATAAAAATCTATGGCAAGGGAGTGTTTGAAAGATTCATCGGCTTGACTCATGCCACCACTTATCAAAGACGAGACGTGACGACAGCTGTGGGACCCTAAGTTGATTGACCGGTGTCCAAAATTAAGAGCTGAAGGATATTCGTGGGCCAGGAGAGGGGGGGGGCGCTTGCAAAGGGCCGATATCTATACTGGCGTTTATAATTAAGATATCGAACTGTTAAGATAACGAACTTAATCGTTACGAATAAACACATGCTTAAACTGTGTTACGATGTAAAAATTGGCCATATCTAACAACAAACAAAACTTGAATTAAACAGTTTCACTTACGGTAAATTTCGTGGGCCTTATTTAATCGTTACGCAGGCCACTGGACTAATGTCATCTAAATCAGTGTTTTTCAACCGGGGTGCCGCGGCACACCGGTGTGCCGTTAAATATTGTCAGGGGTGCCGTGGGAAATTCTCCAAGTTGTGTGTCTATGCGGTGTAGCGTCCGGCAGAGTAATCGTGTGGTACTGTTCTATATCAGACCGTGGCAGCATCAGGTGGCAATTTTATTTTGTCTTTGTTTTTATTTGATTACTATTCAAGATGTCCAATTCAACATCTTTCTTCAATGTTAAAAATCTTATATTTACAATATAACACTTATATTGTGAATATTAGGTATTTTTGCCATATTTTCAGCTGGTGGTGTGCCGCGGGATTTTCTCACTGAAAAAAGTGTGCCTTGGCTCGAAAAAGGTTGAAAAACACTGATCTAAATGAATCGTACTCAACTAATCACTAGTGAGATTAACTCAGTAATTCATCCAACATCGCTCAAATTCGGAAGGCCAGCGGTATTTACACAGCTGAAGTTGAGTGTCCATTTATCCATAACTCAAGGCAGTGATTTCCCTACAACCCCCTATAAGGGGTAAACACATTTTCCTAAGTTACAAATAGTTTTAGCACCAATAACAAAATATATGCCACCCCCCTAAATTTGGAAACACCCCTCTTAAATTGAAAAGCTGGAGAAAATACAGACTCAAAGTGACTTCTAAGAGGACTCGATGCTCAACTAAATGCCAATGAGACTTGGCTCAGATAAAATCGTGACCCTGGGTTTTGAGACTTTTACGGAGAGACTAGCACCGTTGTAACAACATGAATTCGATGCTTTATATACTTACGCGTTTTCTTTCTTGGTTCAATATCCCAAAGACCTTCTGTAGTATGGGGCACGGATTCCAACATTTTAGGAGTTTTCACAAATAAACAGCGTTCCCTTGGCCATTTTGGACGGTTGGGTAGAAAAAGATCAGTGTTTAATGCTGGCCAGAACATGCTACGGGGTAACAAGTGACCCCCTGGCTGAAATTTACCCCCAAACGGAGGCTTATGTTTGCTATACACTAGATATGGAAGTAAATCTTCTCTGAATTTTGTTTTAAGTTGATTCTGTCGACGTGCGTAACTTGATTTTGGCGTTTTGGGAATGTTTTTCAAATTTGGCCAGTTTTTGAATTCTTTTGGGGTTAGGTCAAGAAAGCGTTTCAGACCTTTTTGTGCAGTATCAGGCAAGTTACTAAAATCAGTTTCACAGTTGTTTTGGGAAGCGGTAAAACGTTTTGCCGCACTATTACAATTCCCTCCTTGTCGAGCCCAAAATTTATGATTAAATTTCTTTCCAAGAGGCACCGAAGCAAGAACTGGTAAACTAGGAGTGCGTTCCTTTAAAGATACTGGAATTTGAGTGTTCCCAATGTTCATAAATGACACATAATCATGCTTATGTGCATACGTTGTATCTAAGCTTCTTTTATTCTTAGCAAAGCACTGCCGACTTTCGAAGTGAACACTCTTTTGCCTTTCAGTACAGAGAACCATACTACTTTCTATTTAAACTTATTAGATTCATAAAATAATAATTAATTGATAAATCGACAGGAACATAAGTTTTAGTTTAAATGTTAAATCATACAGATTCCTAGCGAAATGAATTCCAGAACCAGACTAGAAATTCTGGAGCTCCCGTAGTATGTGTACCAAGTTGTCACACAACCTGAACCCTAACCTGGTACACATACCATGTTCAGGTTGCGCGCCATCTTAGTACACATACTTCTGGAGCTCCGAAATCCCAACATACTGCATGTATACAAAGCCTATACTCAAACTTAAAAAAACAAATCCAGTTGCCAATGCTATTAAGCTGTTTCTTAGTAATATTTACTTAAGCTGCTTCTGTTCTTGTGACAAAAGGCATTTACTAGCGTTTATTACAACACCATAATTTCATATGTTTTCAGTAGCTTTCGGTCTCAGTAGCTATCCTTCGTGCAACTCACGCCAACTTTCAACTTTTAGCAAATTTTTTCAGAAAAATATTTTTGAATATAATTTCAACAAAGCACGCCCAATGTTTAAATTTTTAAATATATTTTCCAGCGAAACAAGTGTTAATAAGCTAAAGTTCTCGCAACTCGGTATGAACAAGTTTTTCCAATGTTCAGATTTGAGCAAAATTTATTACAAAACATTTTTGAATATAATTTCCAACAAAGCAAATCTGAAATGGGCTTAAGATCTTACAACTCATGGCAATGTCCAAATTTGAACAAAATGTTTTAGGAAAATGTTTTTAAATATAATTTCCACAAAGCAAATTAAACTGGGCTAAAGTTGTCACAACTCGCACCAATGTCCAAATTTAAAGAATTTTTTTTAGAAAAATACTTTTAAATATAACTTTAACAAAGCAATCCTAAATCGGCCAAAGTCCCACCACTCAGTATAAACAGGTTCCCACTACCAGCTGCCTAATCTTGCTACATACCTCGCTACACTGAAGAACCCTTGAAAACTAACTGACGTAATTCTAAGTGCTTTGAGTTTTGTCAACATTTCACTAATTGGGATTTATTTGTTTGTTTGCTTGGAGTTTGTTGGCAACCAGATGTCAATGAAACAAGAAATGTCTCAACAATTGGGTGGGATAGCTTGGACATTACAAACAAGCTTACAATTGATTTGGTAAGGCCAAAGCTTTTATATCAGCAAGGAATAATATAAAAGGCTACTTTGGAAAAATCAGAAAACATCTTTTTTGATTCCCAAAACTCCTGTAATAATTTTAGTGAATTTTACTATTAACTATGGCCAGAAACCAGCTTAAAGAATACATGTAACATTTTAAAAAGGGAACTTTTTTGAAATTTCAACATTTAAACCTTCTGTCTTGAAACTCTCGAAATTTGAATCTTGTTAAGAAGTGCAAAAATTTATGAAATTCTGGTATCTGATCTATTGTTGAGTCTAAATGATCAGTTATGGCATCCTTCATCAAACAGTATTCAATAAATATAATGAATGCTTTCTACAAAAAGAAGCAGCATATCAGTGACTGCTTGCATAAAGCCTTGTTTAGAGCAGAGACATGCAAGCGTCATGGAAAATATGAATGAGTCATCTTATCAACTTTCTATTAATTAAGTACTAAAATCCTATCCTGTTTCCTGTCCGGTAAAATACCTTGTAAAATAGACGCTTGGACTAATAAAACACTCTCAAACAAAACAAGATAAAATCACCCCTTATTTATACAGAATGAACATGGGTTTGACAGCATGATGGTTGAGGCACTGGAACCCATCCATAATCTAATGAATAGGATAGGCAGAGCCAAATCGGACAAATTTCAATTCTTCTTAAAACAGCAATTACTTACATTTCAGTTTACTGTTTGGCTTAACACCAAATTAAAAGTTTCATAGCTATTGTTAAGTTCGCCATCCAATAATGAGGGTATCGACTATGTTTATCACAGATCTAATCTCTCCTAGAAACATAAATACGCTGGTAAACTATTGGATTGATTGGTGGGCAAGAAATAGCATCATAATGACCTCGATTGTTACATTGTGGGTATTATTATATGAACGTTAGTCTGGCTGCTTGACTAGCTGGTATTTAACCATAGTTTTTCATATTAGATTTTGAGCCTCTGGCCAACTAAGCAAGTCTATTATCTCTATCTGAACCACTCAGAAAAGTATTTGCCCTGGTCTTCTGTGAACTTAATCTATAGAAGCACTAAATTTTTCAAGCAACAACTACCTTATCAATCTAATAATAAAAACACTGTAAACCCTCCAATCCCTGTCAACATATAAATCCCTAATCAAGTCTTTTGTCAGCGAGCGTCAGTTCTCGTCAAGAAGTATTTGGACTTAACACACTTAAAACAATAGATACGAGTCCTTCTGTATGACGAACTGTGACAGCGAAGTGGTCATTAAGTACATTTGAGTGCGTGGGATCGTAGTAAAAGTATTTGGTTGTTTATACACGGCCTTATATGAATCGAAGATAAAATGAGCAACTTTTGCACCGTTTATCTCATTGCCATGCTCAATCTAACCTTATTTTCGCCCTGTCTCAATGTTTGAGTGAAATTAATAAAATAATGAGTTCACTCATGATTTCTTTGACAGCTACAAAACAAAAGACTTCTCTGGTCATATTATTTTTAGATGAGAGGAGAGACTTCTGATTTATATTGGGAATTGCGGCCTCTCTTTTCATACAAGTTTAAAACTAAAAATTTTTATAACATTAAACTCATCATTTTTTCGACAGTTTTTGGGCAGAAGGTTTCTTAAGTGAGTCTGCGTTTCATATTAATTCTAGAGGAGAACAAAATTCGATGCAATAGACGGCAAATGTGCATCATAGTCTCTCTTTTGGTTACCAGTTTAGTTTGAAGTTTAGTTTGATTCCAAAATTCATAAAATGATAAAATAAAAAATACAAAAGATGAGGTCGATTCTGATCTTAGAATTCCATATTAATTCTGATTGGTTTGTTCTAGTATTCTCATGAATTCCTAACTATCAACTTTTGAATAGGCAATAACTTATCAAACTCAATCTCAACGAAGCTGACTTGAAGCCCAATGTCCTATTTGTTACTACCAATATCTATACAAAACATATATAGGCAATGTACCTTTTAGTATGATACAACACCTTTATATCAAGCTGTTTAGTATTAGGTAAAGACTCTGCACCAAACAAGGTGGAAAAGAACAATTAAGCAGCTGGGATATAGAGGTAGTAAGTCATTACAAAACTATATGAAGCTGATGGACATAATAAGTAATATTGAGCCCTACCTCTTGAAAAAGCGATAAGAGCTGACACTGCCATTTTACATTTATTTTCATACATAGAAAAATAGAAAAACCCGCAGAAGTTCACCAGAGCATAATGCGTTCCATACTTCTAAATAGCTTTGGCTCAAGTCTCATTTCACAAATTCAAAAACTAAATAAAAGCCAGTTAGAAAAGCAAAAAAAAATTTTATTTCCGAGTGAGCGCAAGAATTTAAGGAACTCCTAACAAAACACCGCCCCGCCCACTGCCCTTTTAAGCGCTATTTCACACATGTGAAAACTAAATAATGACTAGTAAAAAGCCAAGAAATCGTTAAATCTAATCCTCTAGTCAAGTAGCATAAAGGCTTTGAATGCCATTGACTTGCTGAAGCATCCTACTATAAAAAAGGGGTCGTTTGTACTTGACCCTATCCTACTACTCTCGCCAAAGTAAACAAAGTAATTGAGTTTAGATATTTGTGTGTGTGAAACAATGGAGACATCTAGTGGAAAGATATTTAGTAAATTAGTAATTGGAGAAGAGGAGATGAAAAAATCTTAAAAAAAGTGCCGCCAAAACATTTGGGAACTATAAGTAGAAATATCGCATAAAATGCGACAAAACAGTGATTTGACATCTTGATTCTGTGACATTAACTGACTTCTGGCATCGCTTAGAACTTGAATTAATCATAAATTACCACATCAAGTTTCTCCTAGAGATGTATCGATACCACTTTTGTCCCCGATACCGATACCAATGAAGAAATGCCATAACCAATATGCCAATATTTCAAACAGCCGATATTTCAATACCAATGCTATGTCATTATCACCTTAAGTGTACAGGGCGAATAGGTTGAAACAATAGTCTGTGAGCATTATTCATAGTGCACATTATTTCATACTGAAAAAAAGATTATCCTGATATTGAGAAATTGAAGTTTGGGGTTAATTGATTCAGATGAATTGTGTGCCAATGCTAGAAATCTCGGTGTTCAATTAGAAAACTCATAGGGTTTGGCCACTGTTGGTTGGTAAAACAAATAAATGTTTACTTATCCTATCAAACTAATACATTGAGTTACTTGCACAAGATTGTGCCAATATAACAAAAAACAAACCTAATTTTGGTCCGAACACTTCTCTCTTTTTGCAATCGTCAATGAATCTGAACAAGAGCAAATGTTGGAATCAGGGCAGAAATGAAAAACGAATCAACGTCATATCATTTCGATCCTTTTCATTTAAATTATGAGTTTAAGTTGAGTTAAAAGTTTTGTTGCATGAATCTCAACTGAGAGGAAAACTTTAAACATGAAGCTTCAACGACAAAAATAAGTACAGTATATACTAATTTAATTGTACATTTCAATCAGGTTATAGGTTGTTGATGCAAATTTAAGGAAGGAGAGAAATTTCTCTGGCTGAATTTTATCAAAAAAAAATTCTATCAATTTGTATCAGTAGGTTTCTGTTTGTACAGTATGATGATTACATACAAGTAAATTTTAGTTTAGCTTTATTGCTATCAGATAATATGGGGATGCTATTCGAGCATGTTAATGAGATGATATACCGGTAATATATATTAAGGTAAATCGCACTAGTGGCGCCCCTCTTAGAAACTGGTGGATTGACAATTGAAGCCCCCAAAACCCGAGTCGTTTGTCAAGTCGAGTAAGAGTCCCAACAAATTTCAAAATTCTATTGTCCAGTTGAGCCAGTAAATTCCCAAGTCGCAAGTCAAAATGTTTTAATCGAGTATGAGTTGAGAATTATTTCGCACAGATGACTGAGTACTCCCGTAGTATGTGTACCAGGTTTTTTATTTTGATTTCCCTTATTTTAGTTCTATTATGAGTTCGGAGACTGCCTGTGTTGACCAAGTGAATATACTCCCTGCCCATATGTTTCAGTCCCTTTACACAACTAGACGTGAAGCAGGCGAACAAAATTAGTTACATCCATAGTGGTACACACTACACACACTTCTGGAGTGCCAATGACTCAGGACTAGGAGACTCCCCCCAACAATGGTTTTGATACAAAAAATTCATCATAACTTACGTTGGGCACTTGCATACAGGGCCATATCCTGGAGGCCAGAAAGGTCCATGTTTACTCATCACGACTCCTCGTTTATCTTCGTAGTTTCCTTGTCCGATGTGACTCAGTTTAGCGCGACGGTTTCTTGAGTTGAGAAGATTCAGCATGCCATCTTTGGAATAAGCCTGGAAAGATAATTTCAATTAATTTTTAAGGCAATGATGATTAGTTGAGGCCTCATGAGAGCGCTAGAGATACTCTTGTTGTTTGATTGAAGATTATTCTTCAGAGATGGAATTATGCAGATGATGAATATATAAAATTGCTGGGCTGCTTGCCGGCCGTGCAGTGGCATAGCTACGTAAAGTGGCGCCCATGGCAAATTATTTATGTAGAAATATGTTTCTATTGTTTCCAAGTTAAAATTGTTTTTTTGTAACATTTTCTGACGAAAACTTTTTGCCCTTTTTGCAACCCCATCCGAAGGTGCCCAGGGCGTAAGCCATGGCCGCCATACGCTAGGTACACTACTACGTAGGGTGGATTATTATAATTACTGCGGAGAGTTACTGAATTCATACGGAATAACGAAAAAGAGAAAACGAAAAAATTTTGGTTGATAAACAATCAAAATAATAACCATTCATACCTGAAAGCATCTTCTCTTCGGTCCATAGTTAGGGAGAGAGATTCCATTGAATGTAATTACACCAACATTTTGTCCAATGGGCCTGAAAAGGTTAGATTAGTAGGTTCAAAGGTCAAAGAAAGGTCACAATGGTCCTATTGTTAACATAATTGAAAGACTACATTTAATGCAGAATACAATCCTTTACTTCTGAGTAAGAGCCTGTATATGAGCCTCATTCACTTCTGAGTGCACATAACTTTGCTTATAAATGAGTCTCCTCTATAGTTGAGTGAGTGCCCATAACTTCGCTCATAGATGAGACCTTCATTTCTGAGTGAGTGTAAATAATTTTGCTCAGAGAGAAGTCTCCTTTACTTCTTTCTGAGTGAGTGCCCGTAATTTTGCTCAGAAATCAGGCTCCTTTATTTCTGAGTAAGTGCCCGTAACCTTTTCCAGAGATGAGTCTCATTTACTTCTAAGTGAGTGCCCATAACTTTGCTCGGAGTTAAGTCTCTTTACTTCTGAGTGAGAGCCCATAACTTTGCTCAGAGATGAGTCCCCTTTACTTCTGAGTGAGAGCCCGTAACTTTGCTCAGAGATGAGTCTCCATTACTCCATCTTATCAACCTTCCTATCCTAAAAGTCCTGCTATTTTCATGCCTGTCCGATGCCTTATTCCAGCTTCCACATCTTTAAAGGTCGCGACCTCTTACAATAAATTAAAAATTTCCCTGTTCCCGTTTGAAATGCTGAACAGTTCGAAATATGCAAGCGCACCGCTTTTCTTACCCTATGTATTCTCTAGAAATCGTGATATTTATGTTTTGCACTAATTATAATAATTGTGTGTTTGAATCAAAAGTCTGAAAAAGTACAATAGATATAGTACTTTGTATGGAATTGATGGACTCTTTGCAACCCCTAAAATTAGTTTTATGCCACACTTCGGGGTCATGACCCCCAGTTTGGGAAGCTCTGATTAAGACCGTTCAACCATAAGAACAAAATAACAAACCTCAAATTATTTTGAACATCATGTTTCGGCAAACTCAGAAAATTTATAGATGATGGTGATGTGTCCAGTAAGGTGATATCCAGCCCTCCCTTCATGTTATTGGTCGAAGAATTTGAAGGCATTGGAGCGCCATACTTGAAAAGTCCTGGAAAAATAATAAGTTAGACTAGCGTTTTCCAACTGTGGAGAAAGGGATTAACTGTTTTTGGGGGGAAATTCACCTTTGTATTTGCTTGTAGTATTACTCATTTTTTTACTCTATTTAGTATTGCTGTAATACTTATTAATCACATGGAGACATTTCAAGTCGACTTTAATTTTTCCAACCAAAAAAAAACCAATCATACACAAAAGGAAACCATTTTACTGGAAAAAGGAAATCTCAGGGAAACAAAACTGGTTCTAAAACATAAAATGTTAAAATTTCAAATTTCAGAACAGTTATTGAGAGTAATTACTGTATGAATTTCGCGAATTATTCAAATATTTCTATTTAATAGCCTGAGTGTAAGTTGCACGTATTACTCGCTAATGAACCATTAATTTGTGATAAGCTATTTTCGAAACCACTGATCTCAAGGATTTGGCTTATGGATAAAGATCTTCACAATTTATGGGTGCAAAATACTGAGAACGTTTTTTGAAATCTAAAGATGTGCAACATGGTCATGGTTTTGAAAAAAAATACAGCCATTAAGAAACTGTGAATAAAATCTCCATTTTGTCACTCACCATTCCTTCTGGCAAAATCATAACCTGGCAACCCTTTGTTGGAGAATTTCTCATATTTCCGATTTGTAGAAAGAGCAGCAACTCTGCGGAAAGTAAATAAAACGTAAAATTTTTATATATAATGTTCATGTATCATCCTTCACTCTAAATAAGGCTATATAAAAGTAGCCATCTTCGAGTATAAATAAAAGTTATGGGACAGAATAGGGGTATGTTCACCCCTCAATGGGCTCAAAAATGTGTCAAAAATGTCAAAGATGTCTTTTTCTGAGAAAACCTTATCCATAAATTTGAGTGAACCTTCAATAAAATATTAGAGAAATCCTGTAGAATCAGAAACTGGTCATCCATGGGAGCGCTAGAAATACTCTTCTTGTCTCATCAGAGATTTTTCTCAATGGGTTCAAATTATTCAGAAGATGATTATGTAAAATTGCTGGACTGCTTGCCGATCATACAGTGGGGCGTTTAATAATGGCTAATTTTAAAAACGCTCCTCTGGATCGTTGACCAATAATTTTTAACGACTGTTGTAGAATTGAGATTTATGTACAGTATTTTTTATGTACAAATACGTGTTGTCAATTGTCTCCAATTTAAAAAAAAATTTTTGAAACATTCTACGTTTAAATTCAGGAACTGGTCATCGATGCATGATAATTAGTGACGCTGTGAATGTGAATATTCCTAAAGCATTTTAAAAATAACTCACTAGATCACATACACTCATTTAGAAACGAAGGAGACTCATCTCTAGTCGAGGGGATTCTGAAATTATATACGTTTCCGGTTGTGCATTATTCACACCCATACAGAAGTCATAAGACTCATCTCGAGGCTTATGTGTGACCACTGACATGAAAGAGTTCCTTGGATTATATATTAGCTTATATATAGCAGTGGTTCCCAACCGAGGGCTACAGAGCAGTTGAAGGGGCCACAATGCTGGGCACAAAACAGTTTTCACTTTCCAAAAAACTGCTTTTCCTAGTTTCATTACTTGACAAGGTTATTTCACAGCATGTTTTCACTCTTAAGCATTAATTGTTCGATAATAATGGCATTTGGAATCTACCAATCAAAATAACACCATAAATACTATTTGAAAGATTAACAGAAGGCACCAGTGATGAAAGCATCTAAGAGGGGACTAATGCATATAGTGTGGTGCATTATGCACAGTAAATGTCAATCGCTACATACAAGACAATGATTTTATCTCAAATGTTATTATTTTATAAAGACTCACTTCTCAGCGTAGTTGACGTCAATATATTTGAAACCTCTCTCACTAGATGTCTCTTCAGACAATCGTGTGAACACTGGAGCGTGACCATGGTGATTGAGAGTATTCAACTTCATGATCTGGAGATTCTGGAAAAAGATGATTTTATATTTAACATAAGAGGCAGTATGGTCTCCATCTTTTCATTTTGAGGGGGCGTTTTCAAATTTAGGGGGTGGTAATTATTTTTCTATTAAAGATGAAAAAGTATTTGCAACCCATAAACATGTGCTATGTATTTCTCTAACCATATGTACTGGTAGAAGTGCCGCTTTCTGAATATACAAATATATTCCAAGTTAGAAATTTACAGTGTGGTGTCACACCTCTAAATTCGAGGGTGTCGAAGATTTTAAGAGGGGAGTTCACCCCCTATAAGTGTAGGGAAATCACTTAAAAGGGGTAAATCTAATAAATGTGAGACTTCAATTGCTAATAGTAATATTTCAAATAAAATTATCATGAATTATTACCCAAAAGGTAAAATATTGAATATAATTAATTTCAAATTCATTAGAACTCGTTTTGGTCATATCTGGTAAAAATAGTGTTCCCAGCCTTTAATTGTGATAAATTTTCTGATAATAAGGAACATTTTTTATACAAATGTGAACACTACAGAATTGCTTTGTTCTCTTTACATTTTACATGTTTTCTTGGTCAGAAGAAAACACAATTCATATCGGATAACGATCATTACACGTGCTATAGGTCACAATACATACCTATGTTTTGTATTGTGATGTCATGGTGCATGGTACGCTTATTAAATTACGCTTTCTGAATGCTGTGTATGTGTGACGATAACTTACTTTCAAAAATATGCAAGGAACTACTTAATAGAAGGACCAGAATCTTCCCAATTTGGGATTCAAGACGTAAGGGCGAAAGTTAAAATTCTGAAAAAATACCGTTTGAAAATATTACAAGTTGTGGATTAAGAGCGTAGCCAGCCCAAAAGTTTGAAAGAGGGCAAATTTTTTTGTATAATGACGTAATACAACGTTTACTCGTGCCTTTTGCTTTGAACAAAGCCAAATAAGAGCAGTCCCTGATACCTAACAATATAGTTCTATACACATACTTTGCGGCAAAGTTATCCATGTTATGGATTCTTTTGAATCTTTTATCTAATCATAATTTGAAGCAATATTCACCAAAGTATTTTAATAGAAAGTTACAGAAGTTTAAAAATCAAAAATATATATTTACTCATTATCTCAGAATAGCTTCTCACAAATTTGCTCTTTCGGTTTAAAGCCTTTGTTAATATTAGCCATGCAAGTAATGAGTCATGAGTTCCCAAATTATTTTACAGCTCGAGCATGACAAAGCATTATTTTAATTCTAAAAACTATGATTGGCGAAGTGCTGACAGCCAAAAGGCCTACCCTGCGAGGCTTCTATAGAAACTGTCCATCAATGAAAACGATATTGTTACAAGACAATTTAACTCTTCTTTTTCACTGTGACAAACAATGAAGCTACTTTTGTAAATATGATTTAACAATGCGACCTGCTGAGTGTCATTATGAGCAAACAATGGGACTTGTTTAAATTCTTCTTACAAAGGTTGAAATAACCTCTACATGAATGTGTTCATATTTTATGGAATCGTAAAGTATTTATGACAAGTTGTTTTTTAAATTTTAATATTTGCCTAAAATCATAAAAAATCTTAAAGCTTCAAAATAGACAAATCACTAACACCCTTTTATAGCCCCACCACTGGTTTTCTAACTTGATATCTTTGATTCTTATATTAGACAAGGATAAGTTGGAAGATGGAACAATAAACTAACCTAATAATCAGGGCTGGATTACCATTAAGCATACATGCTTATGGCACCTAGAGTAAACGGAGAAATTCCCAAATTTTTAATGGTATCTATGATGTAAACTCAATATACCATTGAGCATACAGGCTTAGGGCACTAAGAGATTTTTAATGGCGCCTCATGTGTTTCATGAAATACTTTGGGTCGGTGAGATGATTCAGACCTTAATATTTGAAATAAGTCTTTGCTTATTATTCGTTCAGAAGTTTGATTAATAAAAAGTTAGCCTTCAATTAGTAATCTTACTTCCTGTATTCAACTTCAGATACTATGGAACACTTCAGGGTTTCTAGAAGCTACAGGGGTAGTGACTTCTGAACGGCCCATGGGCTGGGGGCCATGGACCATCTAATTGGGGTCGCGGCCCCATCAGGAAAAATTCAATTATCTTACCAAAATTTCCAATTTTTACAAAATTGTCAATATTCGAACCAAAAAAAATCGCGGGATGCCTCCAGATTTTTTTCTTATGATAAGCATTTATATAAAAATAAATACCAAGCTACGTACTACTCATGTGTAGGGTACCAGGTTAGGTTAGGGTTAGGAGCTCGGCACTGTCTGTGTTAGCCAAGTAAATAGTCCCTTTACACAACTTGATGGGCCTGATGGGCCGTGGCCCAATTCGAAGGCCGTGGCCCCGGCCCATGGGCCGTAGAGAAGTCACCACTTCCACTCTCTAGAAGGCATGATCCAGCCCTGCTAATAGTATAAATGGAATCAAATAGTATTGCCAGTTGAAACACTTATTTTATTAATAGCAATGTATTAATAATTATTGAATGTGTAAGTCCTTAAGGAACATTTAATTGAGATATCTAAAGAGTTATAATCTAACGGTACAACAAGTTTCTGTAGTCTCACCCAAAACTTTAAATACAGCTGTTTCAGGAAAACAAGCTTCAGGTCTTGTGAAGCTAGTGGATGTAATGCGGGGGGTCGGCAACCTTTTGAACTCAGCGTGCCAGTTTATGAACACCTTCGCATACCAAACATTTTTATGTGTTTGATTTACACAGTCAACTACCTGACTTGAATAGTAAGCGGATTGAAACAGATTTATTATTTAGGATAACGTGCATGGAAATTAGCTTACGAGAGATTCCGGCATTCGGCATCTCTACCCTCGACCTGTCTTTGCACGACAGGCCACTCACGATTAGTTTTATAGCCAGACGAAATCCCCGCGGAACGACTTTTTCGACGGATGATAACGATTTTTCTGGTGTGCAAAGTAATCAAGCCATGACCGATACCGCAATATTTAAAATGTCTTAATTTGTTATAATTTACTTGCCTTTGATTTAACCTGCGGCTGCGTCGACAAAATAAATGCCTCGCTACCCTAAAATACCACGACAATCCGCGGATATAGAAATGTGTGGTAAACTTCCCGGTTATATCTAGTTTTGATCCGTATTTTTGCCATTTTGCGAATTCGACAAATCTGAGCTGTACTTGTAACAATAACTCCGCCATAAAATCTTACGGAGTGAAATTTATTTATATACCACCACGAACCGTATAATATGAATCATATAATATTAACATGAAAATTTCCGACGCCAATTTAAAGTAATGGATAAAAAAGTAAAATCCGCGCACAATTGACTGTGTTTCTAGTGACGTTATGATTCTCAACGCCGTTCGAACTTAAGTGTGCCCTAGGCACACGAAATTTTGCAATTTACAATGTCTAGAAAAACGTTATTTCTGTCGCGGGCCTCCCACAACAAATTGTTTACGGTTATATTTTAAGGAATTTTATATTGTCGTTTTTAAATCAAAAAATTTGCGTCTTCGATTCACTCCTTTATTTGACTTCAGCATCTCGCCGTCGATGATTGTCGAATAACTCTCAGGGAATTTATAATTCTGGGCAAGTACAAAAAGAAAGTAATTATTATCGTTGTCGTAAAATAATTTTTATGATTCAGGAAGAATAAACACCGACTTTAAAGTGTTTACGGCCTAAATAACACGTCACGCTGACAAAAACAATCGACGATTTCAGCAAGAAGCTGTACGAATTGCCCAAAAGTATGAATTGATAAAATATTATTAATATTTCACAATTTTTAGAGGGCAAAAAGTAACCCAACAGTTGTATAAAAAGTCGCAGGCGTTTCCGAAAGTAACCAGATATAGCAACGCTGCACCACGCATGCTTATCTATACGAGTGATCATAGTCACCACACTGATTTCGCGTACAGATTTCGGCCTCTCGTCGATTGCAGTTAAATATTGCATGTTTTTCCAATCAATTTGTCGAATTGTTAGTTTTTGTTCAATTGCAGAATGTTTGTTGCACTACGAAAATAAATATCTGAATCTGCCTCAAATCACTTGGCGTGCCATGAGAAATCCTCTCGCGTGCCGCAATTGGCACGTGTGCCAGGGGTTGCCGACCACTTATGTAATGGATCCCCTTTACGGGCTCGTAAACGTGCTTTACGATAGAATTCGCTTGTTTGGAATCAATATTTGGGATATAAACAGTTTAAATCTTCATACATTTGCAAACATGAAATAGATTATCTTTAGGATAGCATATAGAGTTCAGAGATGATTTATAGCTCACCTGAGCGCTTTTATTTATAGATCTTTCTCTTATGTTTGCTCTGAACATGGTTTACCACAAGTAACCACTTATTAAACAACATGAAACTTATATATATATATATATATAGCATGTCATGAAATGCTTACTCTTTCATGTGCTCGTCAAGTACCGTATTTTAGGTCAAAAATTGTGTAATCAATGGGTTGTTGGGACATAAATATTGTTATAATTAAAATAATAAATACAACTTATAATCATCTCCTGTGTCGAACATAGACTTACAGCATGATTTATGAAGCTATTGCATGAAATTCTTTCATTATGAGGCTAAAACATTTGCCCACTTTAAAATATATAAATCAACTTTTTGTGAAATATTTGAAATAACGTCATGTTGATTTAACAAAATATAAATTCTAATTATTTTCTCCTGAGTTGAAATCTTGCATATGTAGGGAGCTTTTATTTTATTTAGGTTAAAAAAAAAAATTGTTTTATAAAGTTGCCATAACCAAGAATTAGATACGATAGACGAAGTTAACATAGCTATCAGTACTTATGAATGACAGTTAGTTGAATATTTTGAATCAAAATGATGATTATGAACATGTAAATACTCTCAAAATAAGTATGAAAAAAGGTTTTGCGATGTTGAAGTATAAATTTTTTTTTATTTTCACAAATAGTGTTATTGCACTCAGGGAGTGCATGGGAGAGATTAGGGTACTCGCGAGTGTGTGAGATGGGGGGGGGGGGGGGGGGGGGGGGCGAAGGGCAGTGTACTCGCCAGTGTGTTTTCGGTACTCGAGAGTGTACCAAATTAAAAAAATAAACTGTATCACTCACTCTCAACTTTTTTTGTCGATTTGCTTTTTTTCTTTCAACCCATCTCCGATCCACTGGAGGGGGTTCAAGAGCCTCTTTAACTTGGCTATCTATGTCGTTTTCAATCTTGTTGCGAATGGTCGATTTCCAGTCTTTCTCTGAAATTAAGTTGATTTTATACTTGCTATTATGTTCAGATACCAATGTATTTACCATGGCTCTACTGTCAATAGGGCACCACCAGTATGTTCCCCAGAAGGGAACATTCTAACGAGGCGTTAAAAGTATCGCAAGCCTCGCTTTGAAAATATAATGTTACAAATGCACGAAAACGAGATTTTTACTGCGCAAATGGTCTGCTGGTAATGCACAATGGCGCACCTTGGCAGAGAGTAATTATCAGAATATAAATGATGGGACAATGACAGAATAGTAGCCTACTGACAATAGGACCGACCGACTAAGCATTGCCCATGTGGATGGTGTGATCTCCATAAAAACATAATCTTGCTAAACAGGGAAATTCCAATTATAAAACAACTCTTATGTATCAGAAGCGTAATTGAAATACACGGCATAGTATGACGTCATATCTGGTACTTAACAGGACGTGAAAATCTACTTTGACGTCATAGTGGGTCATGGAAGGCATTATGATGTTATAATGGATTACATTAGCACGTTAATCCCGATCAGGGAAAAGAGCAAAACGATAAAATTCATAATCTAAGACGCACAAACATACCGTTCTCATTTTTCTTCTCTCCCATGAAAGACATGATCTCCCCGAAACTAGCGTTCGATTGCTTTAAATCCATGTTCCAGTTTCCGAGACCCGGCATCGGTTTATTACGACCCTAGGGGGATATACCGCCACAAATAACAAGATATTTCCATTGCGGGGGGTGGCGGAAAGAAATAAAAAAAAACTGTAAAAAAAAATATTAAATGATTTAATAAATCGTCTAGTACCCCATCCTTCTTCCGCGGAATACATAAAAAATATTTGATAAAACATAAGTAACGTCTGTTTTATGAACTTTCGTCTTCTTTGTGCTGAAATAGGGTGTCTCAAGTGAATGGTGGCATTCTTCTCTTTATAATTCCAAGCGTCCGATCAACTACCGTAACTTTTTACGCCGTATTTTATGATACAATTGAACTTTCTTGTTGAATTTTTTAACCCCAAATTTATTCTCGAAAATTACATACTAAAATCCATACACAACTGCAAAATCGAGGCTATTCCGAGCTGAACAATATTATTAAGCAGTTAGGCTTTCCGCCACCTAAAAACAAGTGTTGAATTTTATAGAACACCGAAATACATGAAGTTTGCCAACCAAGCCCCTCGCTATAGTGATATAACAATACAGTTTACAACTTCTAAGGTAAGTTATAAGTAGCTATTCCCACACACGATCGTGACGTATGATCTATCTTATGAGTTTTGCTCTCCCCTTACCAAACAAAAAATGTAAAAATCCTACATTACAGTGTATTCATAAAAGCGATCAACAGCAAGGCGTCGAGAAATCTAACGCCACAACCAAGTGATAATAGGCAATCTGTATTGTTTTTCGCTTGGAAATTTCATGTGCTGTACCAGATTGTGCGCCATCTTGGTGTACATACTTAGGGAGCGCCCCTAAAAATTAGAAATGGTGTCTTCAAACGCGTTTAAAAATATTAATTTAATTCCTATGTATTACTCACTTCTTGTGCGCGTTTAGAATTTGTCATAAAGTGGTCAGATCTGCTAATATTAATTGGCAATATTGTATATTCACTATTCAGTCGCGTTATTTTCGTACAAATTGAGCCAACTTTTCTTTTTCGTGCGTCGTGGGTTTCAAGAGCAAAGAATCCATGCAAACGGATAGATTGGCGGGGATATTTTTATCCATATTAAGTTTTACCCCGCATTTTTTCTGTTTAACCTAACCAACGATGGATAGAATCAGTAAAATGGGCCTGGTTTATCATGCGTTGTTCCTAATCTACAACCAATAAATTCGGAGCGCTTTCATAAAAATATAGCTATTACATAATATATATACACTAAAAATATGTTGATTTTGCGCAACATTTTTTCATTTTTATTTTTGCAATGTCGAGAAAAGTAAGGCGCTTTCTTATTGTATTTAACTGCTACAAAACATGAAATTGGAAAATGGCGTCGTCTGATTTAAAATGCGCTAACCTTCAACCAGAAAATTCCAAGCGCTTTCTATATAATAATAATTCTAATATAACTATTACAAAATAGACACTAAAAGCACGTTGATTTTACGCATCGCCTAATTTTTCACGCGCTATGCCTGATCTTCTGTCTATATAGAAATGAGATCTTTTGTGCAAATCTCCGACATTAATGCAAAAACGCGAGATTTGAAAAAAAAACATCGCTACGTTTTAAATTTAAAATAACAAATTAGTAATTATCTGGTTGAGATTGGAAATGCTTTCAAAATTTGAAGTTCCAGCGCAATTTGCATTCCTATCCCTAGCTGGATAATTACTAATTAATAATTATTATTTTGAGTGTTGGCGGGCCTTGTGCAAAAAACCCGAAAATTGTAAAGCGCTTTCATATTAAATATAACTACAAAACATACCCTGAAAACACGTTTATTTTACGTTTTTTTTCAAGTCCGTCTCTATTGTTATACAAGCCAACAAACTTATAATGCGACCTCGAATAACTCAAATACCTACTTCGTTAGCTATCAAGCGCTCAAGTACCTACTTATACAAACAGGGTGGGAACCACGGAATCGTGCCGTCACTCAAATATAGACAGGGTGAAATGTACTTCTATTTTTAATGTTTACAGTTCTGGTTACGACTAGGGCTGGGCATTTTCGAATACCTGATGATTTCAGAATCGAATCGAATAATTTTTTTCGAATCGAATCGAATCTCGAATACTTGGAAGGTATGAAATTGTATGTAAATTTCTTAGTATTTTAGGTCCTCCAGACACATAAATTACTGAAAACATAGAATACATCACTGACAATAAAAAAAACACGTTTTCATCAATACCTCAATACAGAAAAGAGTCATAAGTCAGAATTGTGTTGAAAAAATATGGCTTCAATGAAAAAAAAATTGAGAAATTTACCTCGACCATTGGCGGAAAGGGTAGGATAAAGAAGGCGGCCATTCGAAAATTTACTCTAAACCGATTCGAATAATTCACTATTCGATTCGATTCGAATATTCGATTCGAAATGCCCAGCTCTAGTTACGACTCGATCGATACAAGCAGAACGTCATATATATATTATTAGCTACTACTGCGTTTCCAAAATGATGGGAATCTTTCATATAAGGGCGGTTTCACACAATGCAATAACAGAGATCCGGCAAAAACGCAGAACCCAGGTCATTCGGAACATACTCAGCGAAAACATATCTTTGTTCAAAGCGTTATAGATTAATGAAACTTGTGGATTCAATCATATTACACGAACAGAAGTTCAAATGGTGAATAAATTTACGTGTTCTGTTTTTTGGGGTCACCCTGTACTACACTCTGATTAGATACTGACTCAGAGGTTCTTAAACTTTCTGTATTACATTTATGTGCACATAAATTGCATTAGCGCCGCTTCAGCCAGTCGCACTATACTCTAGTTCAGGGGTTCCCAAGCTTTTTCAGGATGACCCAAAGAAGAACTTTCAATTGTCCAGTGCGACCCCAGGTCAATATACATGAAACTTCTCAAGCTTCTTTCACTGAACTTTTAAGTTTGTTCATTTGGTGATATTAAGTAAAATAAGCTAAACCAAACAGTGATGTCACACTAAGCACCTACATTTTTGATAGTGTAAGCATAAAGCGATGCCTATGGGCTTGTTGTACAGTAAGCCATGACACAAACTGCTACATTTAACATGGTTTGTCAAATCTTAGATGTTTTGTACATCCATCCTCTACCATACCTCAGCGACCCCATGACTTGTTTGCGACCTTACCTACGTTTCACTCCGACCCAATTTGGGTTCGCGACCCCTGGTTTGGGAACAACTGCTCTAGTCGAAAATTGAAGAAGATTTTGTCGGGCTGCAGTTTTGATGTTAATTTAGGGAAGCGTTGTAACACTCTAAAAAATGCCGGATACAAGCATACTGTGATATGTATGCAACATGCTATTAGACCAGGGGTGGGAAACTTCCCTAGTCGGCGGGCCAGATGTGAAAAAATAAAGCCATCGGCGGGCCGGATTATTACAAAAAATACTTCGGTATCCAATCTTTGTTAAATGCTCGACACTCTCTGTCAACTTTACGTTTATTGGGATATTCCATGATTAATAAAACTTAATATAAAACCTAATTTCTAAAATTTTTTTATATTTGGATTTCAAATATAACTGATTTCAGTAATGGGGAATGTTTGCAACGCTCTCTGCTCTGACCTTATATTGTTTGTTTAACAAGTGTGCTAACGCAATTGTTTGCACACTAAGGCAATTGTTTATTTCATCAGCTCGCACTGACAGTGCGGCGAGAGTAGAGCGATCGGCAACTTTTATGAATGAGGCGTCGGACCACATTACAGAGTGTGGTTGGATACAGTCAGCGGGTCGGTCAAAATCTCTTCGCGGGCCGGATCCGGCCCCCGGGCCGCATGTTGTCCACCCCTGTATTAGACCAATATCTTCCATTTTTTTAAACGTCCCGAAAACTATGTGTTATAGGAAATTAGCACACGTGTTGACATACATTTTCTGAAACGATGGAACCTGTTGCTTATGAGTTAGATATGAAGGAACCCATTCCCAAAATTTTGAAACACATCAATAGTATTATATATGCTTTCCTTTCCCTGAGTCAAGTTTGAAAACCACACCTCACCACAGCTAAGCCATAATTTGCGACCACTTCCTTCTCGACTTAAAGAGTCTTATATAATAACACATTCAACAGCGCAATACACACTTGATCATGTCACAAGAGCCTACTTGAGATTTATAGCGTTGTTAAGTGATCAATCGCTGTAGTGGGTAAGTGTGATGTCAACATACTAGGATTTTTTTTTTACAATGGGGGGGGGGGGGTCATGCAGAACAAAATTTCACACTTTCCAAGTTTTTAACCGTTTCAATAATATATCACCGAATGGCTGATTCACTCAACAAAGCCTAAAACATTTCCATCAAAGGCGTATACCTAGTCCCGGAAACGGTTGGACTCTATTATTTCTATTATGGAGAAAGGCTACATCAACGTTGATCGAGTGCAATTTGAATTGTGTGAATGAAATGATGCACTCGCACTCTCCTGCACTCCAAACAACTTTTAATACTTTTTTTTTTTCAAAAACTCATCAAATGTTTCCCAACTTTTTACGCTAAAATCTCCCTTAGACTGATTCCTCATTCCTCCCTCACTGCGCATACTAACTACTTCATTTGGCCAATCTATATTGGGACTTCAGCTAGTGTTTGTTTTTCACAAGTCGCACTCCCGTATTGTACGGTTTAAAATTTAAATAGTTCATAATGTGTCCACAAATAAGTATTAAAGTAACGAATAACTGAAGAATATTAGTAATACTCCACCCCGGTTGGGAAGCGTGGTTCTAAACGAAGACTTGATTAAGCGCTACTTCACTGTTGTTTATGAAATAAATATTAAAGGGGGCTCCCGAAGTATGCGAACCAAGATGGCGGACATCGGAATGTAATATGTTTACTAGGTTAGGGTTAGGCCATACTTTTAGGTATAAATACTACGGGAGGCTCTTGGCTAGTCTTCGAACTGATAATAGGACTAAAATAAGGAAAATTGGAATCGCCTAACCCTAACCTGTTACCCATGTTACGTTCCGATGTCCGCCATCTTGGTCCGCATACTTCGGGAGCACCTATTAAAGTAATATAATGTAACATCATTTGC